AAAAAAATGTATTTTGAAATTGTTTTATATACATACTTATGCTAATACAATATGTCTGTTACTATGATTTTATGAAGAATGTGAAAATTACATTTTCATTAACTCAAAACCTCATAGCAGACAAAGCTTTGTGCCCCACCCTCCGATCTCTGGCGCGGTTGGGGTTGCGGACCCCAGGTTGGGAACCACTGGTCTCAGTAACTCCCACAGAGCTGTCACAGCACTGCACATGTATGTGTGTCTTATGAGTTTTACAGTAAGGTTAGTGCATCCTGGGGTTATATGCAGTTACTCATATTGCAGGTAAAATATGAGTGAACACATTGTGCAAACATTAAAACATCTACAAACTTTGCACCAATGTACCATCATTTACTGAGAAGATCCTGCCAAGTGCTGCACATACTGTAAATCTGCCCAAACTTGAACTTTATTTTAGGAAAAGCAACATAAATGATTCACCATTGTTTCTGTTGGACAGACCATAGCTTCAATAAAAAACACTGGATAAACGAAAGATATAGTACATCCCACTACAACTCTGCAAAGGCACTTTATTTTTTGTAATTGCATACATAATGGGTTCAAGAAACTTAGTAGTAATATATAATGTTAAACACATTTCTATGGCATAGTGAGAGTGCCAAATTACAAACAATAAATCAATAAAAGAATAATAAAATAAAAGTGGACATAAAAAGAAGAATGAATAAAATAAAAATAAACAATGTGGCAATATAAAGCAATACTAATCAAAAGCGAATCCATAAAAGAAAAGGCTGACAAAAGTAGAAATATAAAGACAAATAAAATAGTCAAAATAATAATAATAAGAAATGTGCTTTTATAAAGCAAAATGAATTTAACATTGCTTTGAAGATGCACTTGATATCATAATGTATTTTATTTATTTATTTATTTATTGTAATGCTGCTTTAAAAGCAAAGGAAATATGCACAGAAAAATGTGCGCAGTAGGAATGTTGAAGTGTGCAGGCGCAGAAGGAATAGTACGCAAATATGGACTTGCATACTTGAGTGTCGAGAAACGGTCTTGTGTAGACTTGGGACAGCCAAGTATTCCAGAATGCATTTTGCGCCACGAGCAGAATAAGCCGAGGAGAAAACTTTTAAAGGTAACAAGTTTGGGTTTTTTTTTTTTTGTTGCTACAACTGTTATTGTGACACATAATGTAGTTTTCACATTATTTTAGGCGAGAAAGTAGTGGTATAAACATGAAATCAGTGGTCAACTGATCAAGATAAAGCCTGCTTAAAATTTAGCTCCAATAATTTCAGCGATGTGACTGTCTCGATTTGACAGCTGTGACGGCGGTCAGCGCTCACCTTAGCCACCGAGAGCAGCCTTATGTCGGCAAGACTTTCTGAAATCTGCCACAAGAGAGTTAGAGTGAAACAGGAGACATGTTGAGTCATTGTTAATGTCACAACGTCATTATGAACTTATCTATCAGTAGCTCCGCTCGGCCCACTCCTGTAATGTTGCCTGACTGTAGCTTACTCCTGTACTACTGAGAAGGCAGCCGTGAGGACTGAAGGACTGAATGGAGTCAGAGCTCCATCCAGTGGACAAACGGTGCAAGGACAGCATTCTGCGCTACTCTGACGCTAAATAGCATTTACTGTTTTATGAGAAAATAGAAATATATCAGCATTTAATCAACAAAGCTCCGGCCGATTTAATCGGCCAGCCACAATAAAGTGGTCGGGCCCTAATTGTTAGTGCCAGCATGAGACAGAGATGTCAACTTTACAGGCAGCATTTCTCCTATAGCAGACTGAAATAGCATTTACTGCTACCCAAAGGTTGAAGCCTTTTGATTTGAATGACCCCATGGTCTTTCTTCTAACACTAGCCTCAAGACAAACTTTACATTTTTAGCATTGTGATCTGGTAAATAGTGAGGATCTGTTGTTCATTCCACATAACACTTTTGTAATTCAGGTTGTGAATTGCAGACTCTTAAATCTGGCCATTAAACACACATGGGAGACACACACTTCACCTCTCTATCTTCTTAGCTGACCCCGTCCGTCTGTCTAATTTTTACTGTTCCCTTCTCTTCCCCTGCCACTGGGCAATTCATGTATTTGTGTAGGTGTGTATTAAAAATCTCTGAACTTCTGACCCCTGCTCTGTAGGAGTTCAGAGAAAGTGCAGAGTGCTGTTGCAGAAAAAAAGTGGTGCGTGCGTGCAAGATGCACGGAATGCACTGAGTGACGTCAGCGCATGAGAATTTTTTTTTTTTTATTTTTTTGACTTATTGGGCAGAAAGTTTTCTTTTTTTTTTCTTATCAAGGCCTAATGCTACATGCCCACAGTGTTTATTTCCCAAAATGTGCATAAAGTTGAAGTCAAGTCTACTTTATGCATGTTGTTTGCTAAATGACTCTGACTGTGGGTTTGGGATAGTCCTGCTGTGGAATGAATTTGGGACCAATCAGGTGCCTCTCTGGTGGTATTATGTGCCAAGAATATAAACAAAGCTTTTGCACATCTTTTATCCTGTTAAGGGGTAGGATTAGATTCCTCTTAGTAAAACATCTCTGTCAAATGTTTTATTTAGTATTTTTATCTTAACTACTGATGCAGTCATGATGAAGAAATCTTACATGTTAAATAAATTCAATAAAATATCTTAGAAAGTTCTTGCCGTTTTGCTAACTCAACTGTTAGCAAAGTGTTGTTACCAGAAAAGTGTATCCATCAAGGTATGGTAGCATATGCAAAGTGCAGAAATATGTCTGTAAGAAAACACAGTGATGTGCTATAAAGGTGACTTTGTCATCAATCCAAGTAACAGACTCATGGACTTGTCGTGGTCATCGTGATATTCATGCAACAGGATTTTAGTTTAGTACGATCAAAAGCTGTCTTTTGTTAGCAACAAAGGAGACTGACATACACCAATAAGTCAGAATGCAAAAAATAGTCATGTGTCAAGAGTCATGTTTTATACCTCCTCAGGCAAATTTTGGCAAGAACAACAGTTAGTGCTCCCATTGCTGACTGGCAGCAGCCCCACAATCATTGCCATCCCAGAGATGCTTTGACATGGACCACATAGTTATGATGTTAATTATGGCCAGACAACATCATCACTTAATCCGTGAGTGAATATAATATTTTTGCCCATATGCATGAATGATGAAGTCAACAGGATCCCCAACCGATCCCTGCTGTTTTAGATATAGAATGATGTTCAGTTCTTCAGTTGCATTGCATCAATGTGTAGATTTTTATTGACATAAACAAGGTGTTCTGTCTGATGCTCATTGTTCTCTACTGGTGTGTTCTGGACTTGAAATGTGGCAGCTAAACAAATGTGTGACTTTACAAGGACATCATATCAGTGTACTTGGGGGCTCCATCACAGCCTCCTCTTCTATCTGTAATTTTCTCTGAGGTGACAGACCCCGCCTCGAGTCATTATCGACACACTTGGCTCTTCAGAGTAAACAACAGAAGGGAGAAGTCTTGTGAGCTCAACCTGTGGGTGTGTTGAAGCTGCTGCTTCATTTCCTCCTCTTCCCCTCTGTCTGGTGAAAGATGTCACTGCTTTAAAGCAGATTGCTCTTTCTGCTACAAAAATCTTTTGTACAATACTACATGCACACAGCCATAAACACACATCCACAAGCATCCCAACCCAGAGGGGAGCTGAACTCTGACAATTTCACTTCAATTTCAAAATCAACTTCACAATGACTATCCAGCCATTAGTGATGGAGCCTGATTTGACATGTTTATTACAAAACACTCACTAGTGTTGATGTAGAGGAGTGTCAAATCAGTGAGGAGCATGTTTTTAAAATGCAAATATAAAGACAAAAATGAATGTTTTAATGTAATTATATAATACCATTTACTTGTTTAGCTCAAAACAAATAATGTGTCTCTCATCTCCAGTCTATAAAAACCAGCCAGTGCTACATTTACGAAAATAAATTATCAAAGTTTCTACAAGTGAAACTGCAAATAGCCAATAAAAAGAACAAACTCCATGAACACTTACATCCAATGTTATATCTGAATGTGTTTATAAACTGATGTTTATATATTATCTGCCCATCCATCCATCATCTATACATGCTTTATCCTCTGGGGGGTTGTGGGGCATTGTAGTCTATCCCAGCTGACTCAGGGCGAAGGCAGGGTTCACCTGGACAGGTTGCCAGTCCATCACAGGGTCACACAGACAGACAACATAGTGCACTCACATTTATGAATATATTATACATATGATTTTGATTGATAGTAGTAGATACTGATGGAATGCCCAATCCTCTTAAATAGGTTATAGCACATAAAACAATTTTAGTAGCTTTGCTTCATTTGTTGTTTATTAAAACTGTAAAATATTTGTAGAGCAATTAGAACTTGATAATTCATTCATTTTTTTGTTGTATTTTCCATTAGTAGGGGTGACTTTAAGCTGTGTGTTGTGTGATTGCATTTGTAACTAATTGATGTCATTGTGTTTCATTGCTGTCCTCATGTGTGAACGACAGAGTGCGTGCCAAAGCTCTTGCCTTAGTGAAACTGTAACATCTGTGAGCTAATCTGTAGTGCATGTGATAAAGCGACATTGACACACATGCCGTCTGATAGTCTACAGTGGACGCACGCTTCTACTGACGCAGTGCTCAAAGACGTGTACTACCATTTTTGGAGACATTGCAAATGACTGACTTTAACTTCATGACAGTGTGTGAGTTAAAAGTGTGCTTTAATAATTTGTGAGTGACTAGTGACTGTCTCTGCGAACTTTACAGCTGAATGTGGAAGATGCCAACAGAATCCTTGATGATATTTAGAGAAGCAAAATTAATGACTTGGAATTTTTGTGTAGTTCCATAGCTCCTTAAAAATTCAAGCTGTTCTGTAAATAGCTCCACTGTAATCTGAACTTCACTGGTCTAATATCTGAACTTGATTTAAGATGAAGTCACTGAACTGAGATTGTTGTTTGTCCTCAGCTGTCGGGCAAGCAACAGGAAGAGCCTGATTGTGACGTCCAGCACCTCTCCCACCCTGCCACGACCACACTCACCTCTGCATGGACACACAGGTAACATACAAACCACAAATACATGTACTCCCTCTGCAGATTTGTATACAATATATAAAAAGCTTACCTTGGTAGCATCATCATCCATTTCAGTGGTTTGCTAAGTAATGAGATGACAGTTTTTCAGCAACTTTGACTGTGTTTTAGCAATACGAGCTTAGCAGGCAGACGATAGTAGATCCCCCTGTCCAGGCGCCATAGCAGCACAGTAGTCATTGCTGAATAAATGATGATGAAAAAGTGATTATTTTTAGTTGTAGGTGTACAGCATTCATTTGTTCTTCAGCTAAAGGGTGTCGTTGCAAAATTGCGGTGTGTTACATGGAGTCATGGTGTTTACTAACACACTCCAAAAAAGCTCAGCTAACAGCCCTGGCTGCTTTGCACAGTATTGTGACGTTTCTGATTGCGGTACATACGGTAGACTGCTATCTAAATTGTCGAGATGTTGTAAAGTTTATAATTATAAATTGCCATAGATGAAAGCATTTAATATGATAAATTGTTACAAAGGGAATGACTTCTGGCCCTGCTTCTTGCCTAGAAGCCTTCTTGGCATTATATATTGTGAATTAAAGGCATAACAGCAGAAATCCTGTCAATATGTTTTTTTAATCGATAGCAGTCATGGCTTAGCTATAGGACAGATCATATGAATTCAGCTTGGTTCCAAGATGATTGCTCATGTTGCTGCTGGTGCCTGACTGATCTCAGTTTAGCACAGTGTGTGTCTCTGAGAGCGCTCACAAGTTCGTCTAATTTGATTTCAAAAAACCTTTACAAAACTTCTTGCTTCTTCTATGTTTTCATGTAAAAAAAATAAAACTAAAAAAATGAATTTGAGGTACCAACCCTCTTATTCTATGCCTGGTAATCTGAAAATTGTATGACAGCAATTTTGAATGTCCATTTCAACACTTGTGTCAAGCATGGACTACAACACATCAACTGGAAACAGCAAGCATTTTTGTTTTTTGACACCCATCCATCCATTATCTGTACACCGCTAATCCTCTGTAGGGTCGTGGGGGGCTAGAGTTTATCCCAGCTGAATTAAGCTTAAGGCGGACGACACCTGGACAGGTAACCAGTCTGTCACAGGGCTACACAGAGAGACAACCAAGCACACTCATGTTCACACCTACAGACAATTGAGAGTCACCAATTAACCTCAACATGTTTTTGGACTGTGGGAGGAATCCAGAGAACCTGGAGAGAACCCACGCTGCACAGGGAGAACATGCAAACTCCACACAGAAAGATCCCCGGCCCAGATTTGAACCCAGGACCTGTGAGCTGTGAGGTGACAGTGGTAAACACTAGCACCAAACCACTCTGGTTTTTATTTAATAAATAATTTTGGTAATCCTAACTGACCCAAAACAGGAACATTTTTAGTCTGAATTAATGTCAGACAGTAAGAAGAAAAAAAAAAGGTCATGTGTATTTTTACAGTGTATGTAAACTTCTGGTTTCAAATGTACATTCGATGTAGGTTGTGGACTGTTGTTCATGTTTCTTCATGAAGAGCTGGTATGACCTGCTGGTTGAAATGTGAATAAAAGGAAACTTAGTGATGGGGCTCATTTACTTTCAGGATGTGTTTAAAACCTGTGTTTTAGTTTTAAAAAAAAACATTGAATTTGTCATGTATCGTTTCATTGTACAATGGTTTTCATAGTTTCATTTGAGCACAAATGTATACGATTCAGTGAGACACTTAAAATAAAATAACTACATAAGATGAAAAATATTAATTCTGTTATATATAATTGTCCTCATTTTGGGCATTTTACAGACTAAGTTTTAAATAAGTCGATCAGTGGTGATACAACCTTTAGCCTCAGAGATGAAAAACAAACAGGTAGGCTGGAGTCAGGTTGACAGGACAAATACCAGAGAAGGTGTTTGTGGTTCTGTGCTTGCCTGTTGGGTTCACATTACAGGTTGGTTTCAATAACACTCTAAACTTCTTTTGCGCCATCCTTCTGTCCTTCTTCTTCTTTTTCTCCTTTCCTCCTTCCTCCCATTTCCATTTCTGTCTTCCAGGCTGCTGTGTTACCATGGTAACACTGCCACAGTGAGCCTCATAGTCCTGTCTGTCGGTGTCTTTAAGCCTGGAAAGGATGTAAATACAACTAACCTAATACTGATAATTAATGCTGCTGTTTTTTTTATGTTCTCTCCTGTTTCTTCAGAACCACTTTTACAAAAAAAAATATGCTGTGTTTAAGTTTGCTCTATTTAGGCCTAAGTGTTTGAGGACACACTTAAATGGAATTGTAGCCTTATACCGAGTTTGATATGACCTTCACAGAAACCTACAGTGTAACAGAAGTCTACTCTTAAGTCTTCCAGCTGAGGCTGTGATAGCTTACTGTTGAATGGCACTCCTCTGATTAATGTACATCACTGGAGGTTAAATCTTTTTCTCTCTCTTTTTTTTTTTTCTCTTTCATTTTTCACCTCATTCTTTTCTTCTCCATAATGTTGTAACATCAATTTTATTTTTTCTCCCTCCTCCCTTGATTTACTTCTGGTCAATATCTACATTTTCTTTTTTCTTCACCTCCACCCGCTCTGAATTCTCCTCTCCCCTCCTGGCTGACGGTGAGCTATTATTCGAAAAAGATCAGCTGATGATTGGCAGCTCGGCATGCTCTGGCTTCTGATGAATTATGTCAATCTCTTCCTCATCTTTGTATTCGTGATGACGAACAGAAAAAAAGTCAGAAGGCTGTACTCTTTTGTTTATTTATTTATTTTTTGGTCACACACTCCCAAGGCAATGAAAGGCTCTTTTTTTTTCTGCCACCTCCCCTATTCTAGCTGTGTTTTGTGTTACCGATTGCACATTACTTGGAGAGCGAATGAGACTGAAGAGTCACATAGCAGATATTATATTTGCATCTATCTCGTAGGCCAGCGTATTTCTTGGTCTTTGCTAAAGTAGGTCACTGTTACTGCAGTTTACTGCACAAAAACGTTTAAACGTGTGACCACAAAGCAGCTTCTTTACCTGCTGTGACGAGCCAAAAATGAACAAACCAAGGAGATTCAGCTATAATTTACAATCCACGCAGTGTTTCTTTTCCTTGACAATAAATGACAAGTATTTTTAAAAATAGAATATGAGAGTGATTTAATTTTTCATCACAGTGTGGTAACATGCTGAAAATCACTCTGGACATTACATGTAGCAAATGTGGTAAACGTGAGACATAATGGTGTTTGTATTGTCAAGTCATTGTTCATTGTTGTCTTTGACTCTGGCTGGTAGGTGGTGTTTGGTGTGTTACTTCTGTATGACAGTCTTGCAAACAAACCTATGGGCAATATACTAATTACCATCTCAAAACAGATAGTTCATCCATATTGAAGGTTTAATAGCTGACCCTCTGAACCCTAAAATCTATTGGCAGCAAAATGAGCTATTCTGTACATGACCATCACAAATTCCAAGAGACCAAGCTAAAAGGCCCCATTTGAAGCGGGAACAATACAATATGAGGCTATTTATCTGATGTTTATGTCCATCAGTTAATACATTGGTTGTCTAAACTTTTCACCACTTTTTAAACCAGGATGAGGATTTCTAAGGTGTGGTGGGCCACAGAAATTCCAGAACCCTTTCAAACAATGAGTTCATGTCACATACCTGGAGCACACACACCAGTTTAAACATCACTGCTCTGTGTGATTTGTCTGTACAGTATGAGATAAATTCTTCTGTCTATGAATGAGACTTTGGTTAGCTAATGGTACACGCATATATCCATACTCAGTTGTAACCAGAAAGTGTGTGTGTGCTGTGACTGAGCCTGGTTATAGCCCCAGTGAGACCTATGTGTCTTTTTAAAAACAACTTCAGCAACATCTACCTGGACACACAAATTCACGTATTAGACACCTCACAGGAGTGATTTGGACACTAACAAGCAATCTGTTTGACAACGAAAACACGTTTTTGCTCAAATATGTACATACATGTTCTGCCCAGAGAGCTACATATACAGAGGTTCTTATCTGACAGAAAGTACATGTTCATATTAATATCTGAGGTTCTCCTCTGTGTGGATATGCTGCTGAAAAAAGGCATAACTGAAATGGTCAACTACCTTATTTGTCACTCCTGTCTGTGAGGCTGCCAGACTTTCCTGTCCCAATTCATCTATGTTCAACCTGTCATCCAATTCTGCTGAAATGTTCATTACATACCTACAATCAGCACTGATGTTCCCTGTAGATAGACTGGCCTTTCATATATTGTACTCTGCATTTGTATGGTTTTGTCAGTATTTTTATGAAATAATGTCAGGTTTATTCAGAAAAGGATCACCTGCAGCTGTTTTATATTTTATGTTCAAGGGGTGGAATAGTTTTGTGTTGAACCTAATTGAACTATAAAATCAGTGTTTTGTAGCCTAAATGTCAACAAAATATGTCAGCAAATAGAGAGAGTAAAACCCTGGAAACACAGGGAACAGAGGGAAACTGGAGGCATGGCCCCATGTCACTTGTGATTTTGCACATTAATAAACTTTTAGTATTGACGTGTGGATTTTGGTCATCTTCATCTTTCTTTCCCCTCTGAAACACTCTTGTCTTTTCTCCCAGGTTGTCTATCCCTTTTTTTTGCCTATGCATGTTTTCAGGGTGGTAACAGTGAATGTTTAAAAAAAAAAAGTGTCTCCAATCTAAAATCCATTTTCTCTGGATAGAGAGAAAGCTGCAATCATTTAATGAGACACTTCATAAATCTCTAAGATTGTCCATCTTCACCCCCTACTGTCCTTTATTACCTCCTCTTTCTCTCATTTATGTCTCTTGCAATTGAAAGTCAGATCCTCATTCTACTCATGTTTTGTTAAAGGTCAGGAGTTAAAGAATGGATGGAGGCTGAAAGAGCTGGCCAAATACTTGACACACTCAGTCTGTTTTCATACAGAGAGCCCATTCATTTTGCATTTGTTTTGTTCGTGTTGGTTTCACACAGTTTAAAAATGCAAAAGGAAGGTGACACACTGTTACAGTCTGTTTGTTGTCGATGTTGTTGCTGCTGCTGCTGAACAAGTCACTGCTTCACACTTGCTAAATTCATTCAAGACGTACACTAGATTTAATACAAATACCGCATCAACAAAAGTTTTTTACATTGTATTGAGTGTGTACACAACAAAACAGTTGTTTCTTGCCTTTTGTGTTATATATTGGGGTGCATATTTGTTGAATCACTATGTGCTGCAACTTTTTAATTCTCTTTTTTTAGTAGAAAACAGGTGAGATATTTAGGGGTTAAACTGCTGAATATCTTACACAGTGTCATTTTTATCTTTGGGTTGTCATAATCAGTGTACATGCAGTAAGTTCCAAGCTTTATGATTTGGAAGTTTATTACTCAAATGCACTTTCAGAGTCGTAGTTGATCTTTCTCCTTTAGTTTTTATCTCCACAGACTTGTATTTTTGACATTTGAACTAGATATTTTCTAAAACAGTTGTTAAATTTTTGTGCTGATAATTTAACCAAGAGAGTTGAATGTCTGTGCTTACAATAAACCAAACTTTCACCACTGGAACCCTGGATGCCCACAGTACATTCTCTTACTTCACTGCTAGCTTTTATCTGTTCAAAAGCATTCAACTATGCATTTACAAACAGGTTTTTTCACTTTTTGTAGTTGTAGTAGTGGTCCCATTTCCTCAAAGCTGTCTGTCACTCAGCAGATCCACTGGACACTTCTATCAGTGCAGTTTCAAAAATGAAACTAACAAAAAATAAACAACTTCACAGTCAGTCTGTTATGTTTGCTCATCAGCCAACTGAAGTCGTTCATTAGATAGAAATTTGCTCAATACCTGCTAATTTTCTATGTTTGTTCCTGAGCTTGCCTGTCAAACATGAATCCATGCTGATGCATCACTATGTTAGGGTAGTCTCTTGTACCACCAAACCATATAAGTTGTTGAGGTAAACAATATACTCAGAGCTCACTTTCTTTCCTTTCCCCATTTCTCTCTTTCAGGTACCAGCCCACTGGACAGCCCTCGCAACTTCTCTCCCAACACAGCTGCACACTTTTCCTTCGTTCCTGCACGCAGGTGAGACGTTCACATATACACAGGATTTTTCCCAGTCACGTCGGGGGAAAAAAGCAAGAGCAGTATATCCTCGAGGTAGTATAAGCACAAGACAATGGCCACACAGTTGAAAAAATTAATCATGACATCACAAACTCAAATCATACTGCCACTGACATCTAGCACATATACCCAGGCCTTGTTACTGCACATTTGTGGGATACATCAGGAAAAATGCTATTATCAGTTTCTTGAGCAGCACCCGCACTTCCTTACTCACTCCACTATAGTTTACAATAGATGTGCTTTATACTGTACAGTCTGTGAGTAGTATACTATTTGACTATTTCAAATCGATTAGGTTGGGCTGCAAGGTAGCTCGTTGGTTAGCACCGCTGCCTCGCAGCTAGAAGGTAGTCGATTTGCGTTATGGTGAGGACACCGGGATCTTTCTGTGTGGAGTTTGCATGTTTTCCCCGTGCAGTGTGGGTTCTCTCCGGGTTCTCTGGATTCCTCCGACATAGTCCAAAAACATGCTGATTGGTGATTCTAAATTGTCCGCAGGTGTGAATGTGAGTGTGCTTGGTTGTCTGTCTCTAAGTGTAGCCCTGTGATAGACTGGTTACCTGTCCAGGGTGTCTCCTGCCTTCGCCCTAAGTCAGCTGGGATAGACTCCCGCCCCTCCGCGACCCTAGTGAGGATTGTGCAGTGTATAGATAATGGATGGATGGAAATTGATAAAGTTACCAGCAATTTATGGGAAATTAAAACAAGAAGAAATAATAAGTAGACTGTATAACTGTACTCCTCCGCACGCTGACAGCTGTGTATGGGTTATGCGTGCGTGTACACATACGAGCAATCATGTAGACTAATTTGTGACAGACTGATGTACACTCACCGGCTGCTTTATTAGGTACACCTTACTAGTACCAGGTTGGACCCCCTTATGCCTTCAGAACTTCCTTAATCCTTCGTGACATAGATTCAACAAGGTACTGGAAACATTCCTCAGAGATTTTGCTCCATATTGACATGATAGCAACACGCAGTTGCTGCAGATTTGCCGACTGCACATCCATGATGCAAATCTCCTGTTCCACCACATCCCAAAGTGCTCTACTGGATTGAGATCTGGTGACTGTGGAGGCCATTGGAGTATAGTAAACTCATTGTCATGTTCAAGAAACCAGTCTGAGATGACATGGCGCGTTATCCTTCTGGAAGTAGCCATCAGAAGATGGGTACACTGTGGTCATAAAGGGATGGACATGGTCAGCAACAATACTCAGGAAGGCTGTGGCATTGACATGATGCTCAGTTGGTACTAAGGGGCCCAAAGTGTGCCAAGAAAATATCCCCCACACCATTGCACCACCACCACCAGCCTGAACCGTTGATACAAGGCAGGATGGATCCATGCTTTCATGTTGTTGATGCCAAATTCTGACCCTACCATCTGAATGTCGCAAGAGGAAATCGAGACTCATCAGACCAGGCAGCGTTTTTCCAATCTTCTATTGTCCAATTTTGCTGAGCCTGTGCGAATTATAGCCTCAGTTTCCTGTTCTTAGCTGACAGGAGCGGCACCCGGTGTGGTCTTCTGCTGCTGTAGCCCATCCGCCTCAAGGTTCGATGTGTTGTACTTTCAGAGATGCTATTCTGCATACCTCGGTTGTAACGAGTGGTTATTTGAGTTACTGTTGCCTTTCTATCAGCTCAAACCAGTCTGGCCATTCTCCTCTGACCTCTGGCATCAACAAGGCATTTGCGCCCACAGAACTGCCGCTCACTGGATATTTTCTCTTTTTTGGACCATTCTCTGTAAACCCTAGAGATGGTTGTGCATGAAAATCCCAGTAGATCAGCAGTTTCTGAAATACTCAGACCAGCCTGTCTGGCACCAACAACCATGCCACGTTCAAAGTCACTTACATCACCTTTCTTCCCCATTCTGATTCTTAGTTTGAACTGCAGCAGATCGTCTTGACCATGTCTACATGCCTAAATACATTGAGTTCCTGCCTTCTAATTGGCTGATTAGAAATTTGCGTTAACGAGCAGTTGAACAGGTGTACCTAATAAAGTGGCCGGTGAGTGTATGCATGTGTAGATACTTACGTGATTTTTAATCACATAAGCGGGGCAGCTGTGGGTTAGGTGGTAGAGCAGGTTGTCTTCTACTCGTAAGATTGGCAGCTCGATCCCCAGCTCCCTCACAAGCTAAAAGGTCCCCTGAACCAAAGTTGCTTCTAATTGTACAAGATTGTCCTGTGTGGCAATTCTGCTGCAGTTGGTGTGTCAACATGTATGAACGTGTATGAATAGGTGAATGAGAATGACGTTGTAAAGCACTTTGTAACTCCTAAGGTTAAAAGGCACTATTTAAAAGTGCCATTTAATTCTATGCCAAGATTTAAAACAAACAGACAAACAAAAAAAACTGTTACCATAAGCTCAACACATCTTAGACAATATAGAGGGAAAAAAATTCTCAGCATGGCAGTCTCCTGAGTCTTCATTGATATGATGATGTTTCCATGACAACACGCCTTTCCTGAACTCAACCCCTGAGCTATTCCTTGGAAAAATCATCAATCATTGTACGGCTGCCATGTGAGGTGGTGTAGCCAAAAAGTGCATTAATTAAATTACAGTAAATGTGAAACCCCTTTCTGTGTGGCCATTGACCTCAGTGCTGCAGCTAATCAACACACTCTGAGACAATAGTGACACTGTGTGGTGGAGCTTGCTATGACAGCTTATTGATTTGAGTGTCCTTTGGCCGCTTGCACAAAAGCCTCATACTTATCTTTTCCTCTTGCTGAAGGTTAGAATTTTCTATGAATAAAATTTAAGCAGCATGCGATACTGTTGTAAACAAATTATTCTAATGTTGTAATTGTGACAGAATTACAGATTTATTTATGTTTTAGGTTTTGGGCTTTTTAAAAATGATTTTACTTGTCTTTCCTTTACTCACGTGCACATTTGTTTTGACTATTATTCCTTGAATTAGTGGACATGTTTTATTTGTTGTTATATATTTATTTATTTATTTAAATTACCATTTGAAGGATATTAAGAAAAATATATAAAAAGTGGTGCTACTCTGTATGTTCCCATCTAATACAATTTTTGTCTTATTTGAAAAAAAGTACACAAATAATTACTTTTGCATGCACACTGAACAAAATAGCTTAAATATAGTTGTTGTAAAAGGCTTGCAATTGGTGGGTTGTTCTTAGCTAAGTTCGTTTTATTCCATGATATAGGATCTGTTTAATAATATCAAGTGCATGAGCACTGAGGAAATGTGTGCATGTGTATTTGATGATGTGTGACTGAGAGCTGCTAACAGCAACAAAAAGAATATCACTATGTCTTGTCTTCCTCACAGTCACGGACACAGGGCTGACAGGTAACAACTCTGTTTTGACCTCAGACCTTTTTTATCTGTCTTCCTGCTGCCATCTTCCTGCCCTCTGTCCTACATGGCTGACCACACATACATTTAATGACATCAACAAAAACCCTGCAGGGTCATTTCTTCGACACCCAAACACTCACGTATAAGTTTTAAGAGTGAAGCAAAATTTTCGGCTGCTCTCACACCTGCTGAACAGGAGACAGCTTAATAATAAAATAATAATAATTAAAAAAAACAAAAAAAAAAACACATTGTTGAAGTATTTCCATGGGGTTTGCTGACCTTGACAACAATAAAGAAAAACATCAGGCTGATATTTACATTAAAAAAAATAAAAAATAAATGTGTTTGAAAAGTTTAGAATCCAGCTGATGTGTAGCTATGGATTAGACATGTCAAAGCGACTGTTTCATACATGAACTCCATCATGCTACACTTTGCAACCAAGTGGATGGCTCGCAAGGCACTTTCTGCATTTTTGATTCTGTGTTATCTTTTTGTTTGCATTTGTTTCCTTCTACTAAATTACTTGTTTGCTGTATGTGACAGTACGCCATCTCATTATTATAATTTCCGTTAAGTATTTGCACCTTCTTTCATTGATGTTGTGTGTTGAGTTTTGATGTCCTTATTCTTCCTTTGTCTCTTTTAGGACGGATGGTAGACGCTGGTCTCTTGCCTCGTTGCCGTCGTCCGGATATGGCACCAACACTCCAAGCTCTACTGTCTCGGTAAATATTTCAGATGTCTTTTATAACAGCCTGTGGATCTCAAAAAACTGAAATAAATGCTCTATACTCGCTCTTACTTCCCTGCAAAAGTACAGACTCTGAAAAGGTCCCTTTACTACAGGTTCGTCCTATCTCAACTCATCAGGGGCCTTCTGCTGGACCATCTCTGATTGAAACTTTTAATCATAAACTACAGATCTTTAAAATAAAACTTGTGAAATTTTTTGCATGATTTATCAAATACTTTACAAGATTTTTTTTATTTATAAGGCATTGAAATTTAAGGATATGTGTGAATGACAATATCTCAGGAATTATTCAAGATAAAGGCCCAACATTTTCGCTGTGATTTCTCACCATGTCACTCATTGAATTGGTAAGTTGAGTACATCATTGGTAGCTCAATCAAAAGGGGAGCTAGCCAGAAGAGTTGGGGTGGGGGATAGCAGGATAGCAGACAGAGATCAGACAAACGATGAAAACAGAACAATGAACATTTTGGAGGTTGGTTGAGGCCAGAAACTGCAGATCAGAGACTTGAAGCTCCAGATCCAGAGACACAGAACAAGCATAGGACCTCGGGAGAAACACAGAGTTAGTGACATGTAATGGTGACATACAACTGTAAGGAAGACAGGAGAGAGAGAGGACAGGAGCCCAGTGCATAATGGGAATCCCCCAGCAGTCTAAAGCTATAGCAACATTACTTTAAGGTCTTTAAGGTAAAATTGAGCTGGTCATTAAGAGTTTTATTTGTTTGAAGCAGGATTTTAAATTCTATCCTGGATTTTACAGGGAGCCAATGAAGAGAAGCTAATAGAGGAGAAATATGATCTCTGCTACTGGTTCCTGTCAGAACTCTGGCTGCAGCATTTTGGATCAGCTGGAGGTTCTTAAGAGAATTATTGGGGCAGCCTGATCATAGGGCATTGCAATAGTCCAGTCGTCCATGGTCCATGGTTTGCAAAAACATCTAGATCAAGAGTAGGCTTTTTGAGTAGTGGTTTTATTACAGCTACTTTAAAAGCCTGCAGTACGTAGCCTGTTTGTAAAGAGAAGTTGAGAGAAGCAGAGAAGCCTGTAAGACTGCGACTCTGCTTCCTGGTCTCACCTCTGCACTGTCAAGGGTTTGCTTTTCTGATAAATTTGTCCATGTTCCTAGACAAGAGAGCCGCGCCATCCAAAGTGGGATATATGCCATCTCTCCTAATGAGACCAGGTTTACCCCAAAAACTTTTCCAGTTATCTGTTAAGCCCACTGTTTCCACCTCGACAGCCGGCAGTTGAATGATGACATGCAGCTGTACATGTCATCACTGGTCACATTGGACAGGCAGGGGTCCACTACACTAAACACTACGGAGTCCGACATTGTTTTAGCAAATTCACACAATGATTCAACATTAATTTTTGTGACCTCTGATTGGCTGAATTACAATCTTACTTTATTTAGGCTTATACTTTGCCAGTAGTTTTAGATATAATTCAACGTTGTTTACTCTGGCCCCAGGAATGCATTTGACTATGGTCGCTGGTGTCTCTAGCTTTTTCTGAGTGCAACATCTAGAATGCCTGAGGGGAGAGACTTCCCTTTAGCCTGTGAATGAATATCCCTTTCTACCCCTCCCTAGAATCCCAGGCTTTTTGCCCCAGCTTCAAATTTGGCTGATTAGAATGATTTTTTTCCCCCTACAGACATGTCTGGACAATACATTATACAAACACAAAATGAGTTTGGCCTAAAGAAGAGTTTCCAGTCTTACTCCAAAGTAGCTTCCAGTCTCCTCCTGCTCTAACTACTTAACCCTGACTGAAAACAAACCTGACCCAGACTAGTCCTAATCTAACTCCAGGCCTATCTCCAGCCTACCACCCGCCGTAGCTCCAGTGCTTCTTGTAATCTGTGCTCCCTCTTTGCTCCTCCTCTCACAGTCCTCCTGTTCATCTCAGGAGAAGCTGCACCAGCTGCCCTTCCAGCCCACACCTGACGAGTTGCACTTCCTCACCAAACACTTCAGCTCCGAGAGTATCACGGACGAGGAGGGACGACGCTCTCCTGCCATGAGACCGAGGTCTCGCAGCCTCAGGTAGAAGCTCTCAGCCTTTATTAAAGTTCACATGATACACTATAATGAAACCCACCACAAATGCGTTCTTTAGAGGCACCTGCACAAACACCATGTGAAACCCTTTCTGTGTCACTGTAGCAAGCAGTAGCCAACATGAATGAATGTGCCAATGTCAAAATGCATTCAGATGCATGGGTGGCCACTAGATTCTGACTGCAAGAAATGTGAACTACAAAGAATCTATGTTGTCAGCTGAAATCAAAACACTGCTTTGCATTGTGCAAGGGTAAAGCTCTTTCACTAATCCAGATTTCCTCATGTTTTTACTCATTTCTGTTCTTTATCACAAAAGATTTTTCTTTCTTTCTTTTATCTATATGCACCAATTCACAACACATGTCATCTCATAGCACTTAACATAGTAAGATAAAGACCTTGCAAATTTCAACAGAGAACCCGACAATCCAAAGTTACTTAGTCATCTCCCCTTTCCTTTTTGTCAGAGAGACGGATGTAGCTTCATATACTTGCTATCAGATAGTCTTTGTTTTCTTTCTGCAAATTGTGCTTTGAGGTATCTCTTTTTCTCATTTTCGAAATAAAACCCAAGGTGTGAGACTTTACCAGCTTTAGTTTTCGAGACTGTATACTGTATAAAAAATGACCTTGTGCATTGTGTCCCACATAGGATTAGATTACCATACTTTTGATTGTATTTGTTTGTGCTGCTTGTGTCTGCCTTTAGAAAGGTCAGACTCATCCCTCTGACTTATTCATGACATTTGGGAGCGAGTATAATCCTCACTGTGACACTGACCTGTTCACTGTCCACCTGTAGATCCAGTAGTCCTTCTGTGTTTCATTTGCTGTCTCCAGTTCAAATGACTTCTGTCTTTTTGTGACTCTCCATGCCAATTTCTGCTTTTAGATTTTACTTAGTTCTGTCATTTGCTGATTTTTAGCCTGTCTTCTACGCCACACCCTCATCATTCATCTCTGCAGCTTTCTCTTTATCCTCATCAGTTTTATTTACAGAGAAATATTGAATTCTTTCATCCTCTCTCAGTAGTGAGTCTCCTTAGCAGACATTCAGTACGTGGTCTTTAGACTGTTCCAATAAATAACCAACAGGAAGCTTTGTAAGCTGTGAATAAAGATGAAGTTAGGACTGTGGGGGGTAAAGGAGAGATGTCCTCAGTTTTGTTCGACACTGAAAAATATTGGTGTGTCCAAACTTTTAGCTGGTACTATATGTTGTGAAGCAAACATAGTTTAACCACTGCATCATATTTTAGTGGCCAATTTAAACTAACACAGCTGTATCAAATCTCAGCCAGTGGTTACTAATAAGTTGTACATTGGAGTCAATTGAATAGTTGATTCCAAAGAGAAATTGCAATAAAATAAATTTGCGATAATAAAAATATATTATTCTCTTGGGAATAATAAAATTACACTGCAAGTCTAGTAGATGTCCAAGGAAATGGATATTGTGTTAAATACTGTAACACTGAGGAAACATGGAGAGAAGTGTTGAGTTTACATTCATGGCAAATTAAACGAATGAAAACAGGACCACAGCAGGAAACAAGGAGATGTCCTCCTAAAGCACAGCTTTGTGGTTTCTTGTGTGTTTGAAAGAACATTTTTAGGCTTGTTTGAATAAACTTTCAGTAATCCCACCACTGTTTAAGAATTTACTCAACAAACACACCTCTTTCCTTCACAGCTTTTTGTTGTTACAGGAGATTTTTGTGGTGAACACATAAATTAGACACACATGCAACCACTTCACTCCCTGCTGCCCAGTGCACTGTCACGGTCAATTAAGCCTCTCGCCTCCCGAGTCACCCGCTTCAATTGTGCAGCACCAATGTTATTTTTCACGCACATGCACGAATGACGTCTTTTGCATTTTAAGTGCCTTTTGTCACATGTGACATCACCACTCAGAGAGAAAGAAAACTACCTTCTACCAACATTTTAATCATCCATTTATGGAAAAACACCTCATCTTAAGCTTTATTGCATAAATATTTTCTATCTTTACTGCTGTTCCAATTTTTGAATTACCACCCCACACTAAAACAATTCTTGAACACTTCATCTCCAAGGTCTTTGCTCATGTATTGACAAAGACATTGTATTTTTTACAGGAATTGCGTTGAATTGACCGATTTCTATTTCCCATTATGGTATAAATATTCTTATGTTCTAATTAGGGCTGCAAGGTGGCGCAGTAGCACTGTTGCCTCGCAGTAAGAAGGTTGCCGGTTCGCGTCCCGGTGGGGGCACCGGAATCTTTCTACGTGGAGTTTGCATGTTCTCCCCGTGCAGCGTGGGTTCTCTCCAGGTTCTCCGGCTTCCTCCCACACAGTCCAAAAACATGTTGAGGTTAATTGGTGATTCTAAATTGTCCGTAGGTGTGAATGTGAGTGTGCTTGGTTGTCTGTCTCTAAGTGTGGCCCTGCGATGGACTGGCGACCTGTCCAGGGTGTCCCCTGCCTTCGCCCTAAGTCGGCTGGGATAGGCTCCAGCCCCCCCGCGACCCTAATGAGGATTAAACGGTGTATAGAAAATGGATGGATGTTCTAATTAGCCTTTGTCTAACATATAATATATGCAGTCATATAAATGACATAAATAAAACTAAAAATATACATATATATATGTAAAACATATTTAATATGCCCTGCCTTCAAGGTAAGTCAGCTGGTACAGGCTCCAGCCCCCACCCCCCCGCGACCCCAGTGAGGATTACGCGGTGTATAGATAATGGATGGATATTGAAGATGTTTTAATATTGTTATGATTTCCAGGCAAGCTGAGCAATTTTATTGCAATTTATTGTGATAGTTACTGTTAGTCCTGTAGACAGTACAACATAGATCTCATAACAATGCAGTGTGAAACCCGGGACAATAGAAACCTTGTCTTTTCTGTGTGTGTGTTTATGTGTGTGTAGTTACCTGTCACTGTCCCCGCTGGTGTAATGATAAACTGCCTGCATGGCGCTGAAGTCACATTTAGGCTGCAGTCATTCCTATTAGGCTGGTAATTGAACTTCAAGCTGTCAATGGATGACCTAAAGCATTACGTCATTGTATAGGTCCCATGGTGTGTGTGTGTGTGTGTGTGTGACTGTGTGTGTGACTCATTCGAACAAAGCTGTCTGGAGCCCAAAATTAATTTTAATATTGATTCAGTCTTCACCTCAATGTATGTTAGTCCAGGAATTTTGTTGGTAAATATAAAATATATTTTGTGCGTTAGTTTTTCATGATTTTGTGCCTGTTTGTTTTGATTTATTTTGAAATTTAGTTTTTGCTAAGTCATTTGATTTCAAGTTCCCCATTCAAATATTGGATAGTCTTAAAAAAAAGTAACACTGTTTGCAGAAGAAACCAAACATCCTCTTCATTAATACAGTTGTTTTCACTTTATAAAGTTTATTCAGTAAGTACAGTAAGTCCAAGCGATCAACAGTGTGTGGTGATGTCATACAATTTGTATTCAGTACAGTCTCTTTTGTTTCAGCCATTTTTTGAAAGATGTAGTACCTTGCATCTTGTGAGAATTATCTTTTAAATTATTTAATTTCTTGAAAATCAAGAGAAATTTCTTTTTTAAGGTTTTTATTCTAAAAACAAACTGACCTTTAAAAAATGTGCAAATTATTTAAAATGGAAACTGAACAAAATTTTAAAAAAGGATTTATTAACATAGAGATCATTTCCTGTTCCAAACTCTAAGATTGCAACCGCTAATGAATAAGAATAAATAAACTTTATTTATTGATTTTTAAATATATTTGACTGTACTGAAACAGCCTAAAGCAGCTGTAAACTTTAATAGGCCCTACAAACCAAATTTGAAATTGTTATTTTGTAAAGTGTTACTCATTATTTAAAAGAATAGAGGAAAATGAACAACTTAACTACTTCAGAAAATAACATCTTTGTGACTGCTGACCTTGCTTTGTCCCCTCTCTGCAGTTCTAGTATGTATTGGAATCTTGGTAATTCAGTTCTAGGGTTTATTTCGAGATTTAGCACCCTAAACATTATTTCTGCCATTTGACTGTGAAGATAAGACCCTCGTGTGTAACATTACTAAGGAAAGTGATACCCCTGAAATTTCTTCCTTAAAACAAATCAAAGTCTACTTGTACCACCTTGTCACACATTATGGTCACAGTGTGGACCTGAGCTGTGAGCAGTTTGTCCCAAGTTTCATTTGATCTTAGATTGATTAAATGGAAAGATTTTAAAGTCCCCAAACACTGTACACTGCTTTACAAATAAAAATGTGTTTTTGCAGCATGTGTTTTTAGAATTGTTGGTTCGACAGCGCACACACAACTGACACAAAAAAACCAAACCAAAAAAAAACAAACAAATGAGATACACAAGTTGAAATAAAGTTATAGTGTTGGAAAGCATATTTTTAAAATAAATTGTAACCAGTGAGGACTGTTCCATCAAGGTATTGCAGCTTCGATAACCACATCCTGTCTCCTCTCATCTCTGTTTGTTTGGTTTCAGCCCTGGGCGCTCACCTGTCTCCTTTGACCATGAGATCATGATGATGAACCATGTGTACAAGGAGAGGTTTCCTAAGGTTTGTATTACAGGCATGTACCTTCTGTACAGAATTCAGACACTGTGGATATGGTTGTGTTCATTTCCATTTTGCTACTGGGCTAGAATCCAAACTGCAACATGCAGTTTGACATGTGCTTAGCTACCCCAGGGACAGCACACTTTCAGCTGCTTTAAAAAGGTTTAATCATTTATCTGCAGGAAGTGAAATGGTGCCTGGAGTGTATTATTTCAGGCCTTGTCAAAGGCTATTTTTTTAATTATTAATTATTCCATTTGAAGAGATTTTCTCGTGTGTATGACATCTCTCCATGTGTCTTACAAGCATTTACCTCTTCTGTGATTCATCTTTCTCCACGCCCTCTAATTGCGCCCCCCCCCAAAGGCAACAGCTCAAATGGAAGAGCGTCTGGCCGAGCTGCTCTCCTCCTCAGCTCCGGACAAGGTTTGCCCACTGGCCGATGGTGTCTTGAGCTTCATCCACCATCAGCTGATAGAGCTGTCCAGAGACTGCCTGGAGAAAAGCAGAGAGGCCCTCATCACCTCCCGCTATTTCTACGAACTCCAGGAGAATCTGGAAAAGCTGCTGCAAGATGTAAGTTAAGCAACTGTTTGTTCACTGTCCAGCAACACTGTAAGATGTCTTTACAATTGAATACTTCTCTTGGAAAGCAGAACTTTTATTAGACTTAAGTGTATAGGAGTGAGATGTCTGTAAATTGGATTGTACGGGACTGAATCGGACTTCTGGTGTAGTTTCATTTAAAAAGTGTGAACATCTTGCTTCTAGTTAAAAAAGACTGATAACACAGTAAAACAGCAAACAGAACAAATAAATGATAAATGGTTTGCACCTATATAGCACCTTTTACCCTAAGCTAGGTTCTACAAAGTGTTTCACAAAAAAGATGAATTCAAAGATAAATCCACAGAAATATATACCGTAGCTCTGATGAAGACATCACGACTATGGTGTCATCTCAGTCACGCTTGGTTTACAAAGAACTACCCATGGTGTGATGTGGCCCTTCGCGCACTCATTGTTACAGCCGTCAGCACCATGTGATGTCTCATTAAGGCACAAAGACTGTAGCCTATAGGTGCAAACAGATATTACTCCCTCAGGTATCGCACGTACTTTCACAGTCTGATTTGATCATCTACACTTGGCATGATGGGCCAGTGTATTTATGTGTGGGAACGTAGAAATATATTTGCATGTGTGTGGTGGTGACATCTCTATTAGGTCAGTTTTCCATCATCTAGGGAGTGACGTTGTGGCTTCCACTGGCCTCTTATTGACCTTCGGTTCTCCTAGAACACAAACACACTGAAAAAATATCTCTCAATCATGGGCACACAGATGTACGCGGGCAAACACACACACATCTTTCCCGATTTTAATTTCACACCTCAGTGGTCACTTGGGGCTGACGGATGACTCTCCAAGACAAACAGGAGAGTTGGTCGGAAGGTTTTGGGATTGGAGGAGATTCCTCTTCTTGTGATTGGCCAGATGGCTCACAGAGGAGGGGGAGTTGAATGTATGTGCATGAAGCCTGTTCAAATGCCTTTGGCATGTGTGGAGAACTCAACTTAAGCACATCTGGAGACGCGTCGCCACTTCATGCTATGCAGATGTTGAGGATGCAAAGCAGGCTGGATCATGACATCACCAATTAGACATTTTTTGCTCGTTTTTTTTTTTCTTTTTTTGCCATGTGGCCACTTGCTGCAGCAGGTTGAGCAGACCTAAAGAGGAGACAGTCCATGAGAAGACAGACGTGTGAAAACACCCATCCTCCCTCCGCTGTTTATTGACATTCCTTGTCGTTTTGTGGGCTTGTTTTTCTCTTGGAGACATGTATCGCATCTTGTGGCAGAAATGGCTGGAAGAGGAAGACAAAGTGTTGGAGGACATGATAAGGAGGAGGGAGTGGAAGGTGTTCACACATTGCTGGGAGCAGGAGGGAGACACAGACTTTGCAGTTGAGTCAATTTTGGTTTGATTCAGTATAGCTTGGGAACAGTGATACTTGTTACGCTGATGATTACGAAAAAGATTAAAGACTGTAGCGTCTCCTGATCAATCAGATTAAAGGCAGTGTGAAACTTGTTAGCTTTTTCACTTTGACATTGCTTTTGACTCAGCTTTGAGTCTGCTTTGAGTGGTTTCATGCAAGATTTTGGGAGCTGCTTTAAATGTTTTCCTGTTTTTAGTGGGTTGTAACTTCCAGTCACTCAGTGTCATGCATAAAGCATTCCTGATTCTTGGTTATTTATTATTATTATTGTTGTTGTTGTTATTAATAATAATAATAATAATAATAATAATAATAATAATAATAATAATAATAATAATAATAAAAGTTATTCCTGAAATCAAATTCCAGAAATTTCATTATGACAAAAACCAAGATTATGACATTATTCTATGCCAATAAACGGGCTGTTTTACTATAGGTGACATAGGAAATGATTCAGGACTTCGATATTTTATGATTATAAACGGGATATTCTATAAAGCAGTATGACATTAAGTGGGCAGCACTGTATTATTCTTGTCATCAATATTACTATTTCATTATAATTGACTTTTTAAGTTATTTAACAGCCTTTGAAAAGGTTTATATTTTAAATAAATGTTGTCATCACTTGATGTGTGAGTTTATTGGAACAACGTCTAACTTTGAGAACTGTTGAATCATTCCAAATTTTAGCCGTCATCTCAATTTGTCTGTATTTCAGGCAAAACCCTCAGTATTTCAACGATGATATAAATTTGAATGATGCTGGTCAATGTTGGTCAGTTTAAGGGTCTGTCTGCCCACATCACAAAAAGCACCACAGTTTCTCACTCCCCACTAGTGATCCTAACATAGAGATCCCGTCTGCTTCCCCAGTTTAATAGGAGTGAGTGAAATGAAGTGCTGAAAGAATGGTACAATCAAAATGTGTTTTGATAAACAGACCTTTTAAATCTACCAAAACTACATAACTAAAACAAAAACCTGTTTCTTCTCTTCCTCAATCTCCTCAATCTTCTCATCTCAATCATCTTATGTTGAAGCCAAGGGTATGTTACACAGCATTATAGATTGAACAGGAGACTGAACTGACAGTGTTATGATGTGATGTTTTCAGTGTATAAAGCCATTTTTTCCTTCTTTTTTTTCCATCAGTCCACTCCTTCTCGTTGTCACGTTTCTCTGTCCTTTGCCTTTGTGCTTCTTCTTTATCCGTTACTTTATTCATCCATCCCATCTTTTCTTTCCTTGTGTCTTGACCCCATTACAGAAGTCACAGGAGGCCAGCTCACCTCTCCTCCTTCTGTCCTGTTGTCTTTTATCTCTCCTACACCTTTACACCTTTTCTCTGGCTTGCTCTTCACCTCCACAACTCGTCCTTGGTTCCTCTCCCTCATCTATCCTTGTCATGGGACCTTAGTGACCTGCTTGGCGGTTACTATGGCAGCCTGCATGTGAGCCATCCTTTGCTGGAACCCCTGGGAGACCCTGTTAGACTCATGGAGGTTACCTGAGGGCAGAGGGGAAATCAGAGTGCGAACTCAGCTCTGGTGATCTGTCACTGAGTGTTGATTATTCACTCTGAACCTTTAACATGTTTATCATGGGTCTGACACAGCTGCAAACATCTGGTTTGATTTGATTTTCCTTCCCTTGAACTCTGGTAGAAACATCATTTGCTTGGAATGATTAATACTCAGGACTGCCGTCCCATTCATTTCTTGTCTGTGTGGATGATTGCATACATGGTGTAAAACCAATTAGGAAACATTTCCACTTCCACTTAATAACTTAATGTAATATAAGCCGATAGAAGATTTACACTGACTAGAACATGAAAAACTGAAAATGAAAACATTTCTGTAGATTATTACAAGAATATAAGTATAAACGTGCGTTAAAAGAGCATTTGTTTAGATCTGTAGATTTTGAGTTTAAAACTGAAATGTTACACATTTAATGTAATGTAATTTTACGTAGGAGAAAAAAGGTATAACAGCTGACGGGGGGGGGGGGCGCTTGGGCTCTGACGAGCTGGAGTGTGGGTGATACGACGCAACAAACAAACAACATTTGGTTACAAAGACCAGTTTCTGTGTTTCTGTGTTTAGGTTAGTGGTGACGGGGATATTCAGAGATCAAGTTTGATATCCTGATTCTAGCACAGCGAACGAATAGTCGGCTATTCGGGTCCAGCCCTAGTATGCTGATACAATATATATATATAATAATAAAACAGTCGATAGATTATACTTTGTAGGGCACATGCGTACAAGCTATTAAAAAACATTGTGTATGTACTCTGTGCCCACCAGGGAGTTGCTTTCACAATGCACATGCAAGGTTAATATACAGTTTGTGTCATTCACACACAGACACACACTCTGGTTAATTAGTTGCTTTGTAGTGGGAGTCCGTCTCTCATCTGTCCTTTACTCGCTGATCACTGCCCTGTACACTCACCTCACACACGTTTAATCTCCTTTACAGTTAAATATATACATGCTATTGCATATTTAAAGTAGACATACAGTGCATAAAGCCCTCCCCCCTTCCAGGTTTCATTAAAGTCATAAATAATTCAGGGATGGGGGTTGTCAGGGCCCCCAGGCCTTTTGCATCTGTTGGCATGGCTCTGTCACACAAACACTGACAAGTTGCTCATGGTTTGGTAATGAAAAGCCACCTCTGCTCAGTTAGCCTGCCTGACACACACACACACGCATACATTATAAAAACATACATGCATTCTGCATACATGAATACACACAAGACCATATGTAGCATACAGACATTACCCCCAGAGGATTAAACATGTTTTACAGGGGGTGGTTACAGCTCCCATTTTGCACGCACATGCACACACACACTCACACACAATCACAGATATACACACTACGCTCCATTTCTATCCAGATTTGGTGTTTGCATGACGTCACAGGTGTCACTGAAAGGACTCCACTGTCTGCCTGTCCTTAAACTGGTTGGTCTGCTGTTTGTGAAGGACAAATACAATGCAAGACTCATTTTTTGCACAGCTTCAAGGTCATGAAAACTTATTATTATGAATTATTTAAAATGCCATTGGAAATAATGAATAACTATTATTATAAGAAATTAGTTGTTTAAAGGCTTGGCAAATATCTTACTTTTGACAGTGAAGACTGAAACTAACAATAGAATGTGTGTGTGAATCGTGCTCTCTGATCTAACCCTTATGTCACTTCTTCCTGTGTTCAGGCTCATGAGCGTTCAGAAAGTGTGGAGGTTACCTTTGTCACACAACTTGTCAAGAAGCTGATGATAATCATCGCACGGCCAGCCCGTCTCCTGGAGTGTCTGGTAAGAAAGAAACTGACCTCCGAACTGGTGCTTGTAATTATCAGAGGCAATCATACAGTTCAAGTACTACTAAGTACATTTGTTCAAATGTTGGACTTAACTATTTCTGTTTCACTCATTGCCACTTTTTGAATGTACACAACTATAATTGATAGAAAAGTTGTGCATTTTTTACTGCAATATATTTGCCTTACACTGGATTTGGTAATACACAAAGACACAGCTTATTAAATATGAGTCATGTTATAGATTAAACCATCACAGCAGTTGAAATGAGCTTCACCGTGGTCAATTAGTGCTTACACACTATTGCACCATAAACAATAGTCCAAAGCAATTATCTAAATATATAAAAAGTCATATAATTCAGTGCTAATATCCTAATCCAGATGAGGCCGATCACATGGAATTTCAGCTAAGGGATATCAACATGAACTATGCCCAGTTCTTTGTTTACATCTGTTGTGATGAGGACACATAAAAAAAGATACTACTATTAAATGGTTTGGATCAGATCAATGTGCCCCATTAAGATAAAGACAAAAGACAGACAGGCAGCTTTAAAACTAATATAAACATAAATAAAGCATGAGCATGAAAGTACAAAAATGTGTTACTAGCAAAGAACATACAAAAAATATACAAATCAATCTTACATGTACTGTTTACATTTCAAGTTAGATCATGTTTGAAAATGTGTGTATGGTAAAAATGACCATTTTTATTATATTATTATTTATATGAAAAAAATTCAATGAAATTATTTATAAATTATATAAATTATTTCAATGAAAAAATAGCATTTTCACATTGTAAAGCTCATCTCCACACATAGTTATTAAACAAATTATAGCTTCCTGTTCTTATTGTGAAATAATTCAGCCACACCTCTCACCTCTCAGCAGAGCTTCATATCTACATCACAGAGCCTCTTTTCTTCCTCCATCAGTCCCCCATCACACTTCCACACCCACACAAAGCTCAGATGGTCTGGGTTTAGATGGTTCACATCTTGAGCCAAATAGAAGATGCCGGCCATTTGTGAGCCCGGAAATTAGGTATTAGTAAGGATTATGTTAAAAGGGGAGACAGAAGAGGAGCAGAAGACACAGTGATAGTCGGAGGGGTGGTGGAGGAGGACAGGAGGGAAGGGGAGGCTGCACCAATGCTCACCACAGTAGTTTTGACTAATCACATGCAGTGAAGTTGTGACAATGTAGAGGATGGATTTTTTTTACAAATGGAAGGACATAGACTGAAGAGGGGGCAGGGAGTGTGTACATGTGTGCTGTATATCTGTATTTGCAAGGAGCGAGTGTCACGGTGGTATGTTTTGTCAGAGAACACAGAAGTCCCCATCCAAGAAAACACTTCAACCCTGTCTCTTAATGCACTGCTGCCTATTTACGGCTGAACTCAGCTGTTACTGTAGAAGTGGAGATGCTGTTTTATTGGGATGCACAGAGGTTGTTTTTGTTTTGGGGCTCGGTACGCAGAGCTGTTGATGGGAACTCTGTTTATCCTATGTGGGACTAAGCCTGAGCCCTGGCATTTGAATTGAGTCCAAACAATGATGAGATCAAGTGAAGTTCTGTTTTCCCTATTAAAGTAAGTTTTGTGCAGCATTATTTTGTAGTGTTCCTGGAGAAGTAACTGTCACGTTGTGGCATCAAGATTTGCTCAATCTTTACACATATTTACTATGCGTTTCTAATTTGAAATGTGATGATCTCTGTTCTGAAATTGAAATGTAACAAGCTAATCTTCCAAATTCCAGTGACCATATTGAACCTGCTGCCGGCTGTCTTCTCTACTTGACACTGCAACATTTCAAAAAAGAAAAGTGATTCTACAACTTTACTAATTTTTTAAATAAAACAACAGCCAATAATATAGCTGTTCTAAAAACCTACAAAACTGAGATTGCACAGGCTGTTTTTGGACCTGAAAATAAATGGCAAGATAAGCTGTGTTTGAGTCATGTAATTGCTGTTCTAGTTTGGACCCAGTGTTATTTTTTTTTCATTCCTTTCTCTTCCCCACCTCCTTCATGCCATTCCTCATTGACTTTGTTACTCCCTCCTGCAGGAGTTTGATCCAGAGGAGTTCTACCACTTGTTGGAGGCTGCTGAGGGCCATGCAAAGGAAGGTCAGGGTATCAAGTCGGACATTCCCCGATACATTATCAGCCAGCTGGGCCTCACCAGGGACCCTCTAGAGGGTAAAACCACCATAAATGACTATTTCTTTTATTTGTGTGCTTAACTGTTGTTGTTTTCTTGATATCTTCTAATGCCCTTCATTTTGGTCAATGATTCTCATGTCTCTCTCTTTAGAAATGACCCAGCTGAGCAGTTATGATAGTGGAAACCCAGAAACCCCAGAAACGGATGATTCAGTTGATGTGAGTAAAGAAGAAAATGTTAAGTGAACATAGATTTCTTCACCACAAATCTCATAAGAAAGTCAGCAAAAGAAGCTCATAAACTTATATTTCAGAGCTTTGTAATAGATTGGAAATGCCTTGTCAAACAGTTGTTTTTATCAAGGCAGTTTAGATTTGGTTCTATTTTTCTTCCCCATGCTGATTTGAAAAACTTCCTGTTTTTGCCATTTATTTTTCAGAATCAAGGAACTACAGTCCCAGCAGTACAACCACAGAGTAAAACCAAAACCCCTCGAGAGGAGGACTTTGAAAACATCAAGCTCATCAGTAACGGAGCTTATGGGTATAACAGCATCCAGTTTATCTCGTTGCTTATCTAATTGTGTGTGTGTGTGTGTGTGTGTGTGCGTGTGCGTGTGCGTGTGCGTGTGCGTCTTGTCTCTCTATATAGAATATATACGGAATATCTGTCTTTTCTCTCTTTTCTTGTGTAGTGCTGTATTTCTTGTACGTCACAAGGAGACCAGGCAGCGATTCGCCATGAAGAAGATCAACAAGCAGAACCTGATCCTAAGGAACCAGATCCAGCAGGCCTTTGTAGAACGAGACATCCTAACATTTGCTGAAAACCCATTTGTTGTCTCTATGTTCTGTTCCTTTGAGACCAGGAGACACCTCTGTATGGTGATGGAGTACGTGGAGGGTAAGATAATTAATAGCTGTAGTATATTATTACTTATGGTAGAAGTATTGAGTTGTCTAATGGGTGGTTTTTGTAGGTGGAGACTGCGCCACACTGCTGAAGAATATTGGAGCCCTGCCAGTCGATATGGCTCGTATGTACTTTGCTGAGACAGTCCTTGCATTAGAGTATCTTCACAATTATGGCATCGTACACAGAGACCTCAAACCTGACAAGTAAGAAGCAAATATATTTTCATTATTGTGTCTTCACTCTTATTTCCAGTTCAATGCATACTATTATTTTTTTATTCACACATATTTAAATAAATTGTACTATATATTTTAGAGATTTAAGGATACATCGTTGTATTGTTTCGTTTTCATATGCGCAATATATTTTACCTCATATATATAATGTTGGTGAATATTATCTATTTGTAACAGAGGTTGAAAAAAAATTCTAAGAGAACAGGTTATCAACCAAGGTCTTCTAAAATTAATTGGAATGAAACCTCAGATTTTCTGTCTTGCAGTCTTCTCATCACATCCATGGGACACATCAAGCTGACTGACTTTGGCCTCTCTAAAATTGGTTTGATGAGTTTGACCACAAACCTCTATGAAGGACACATAGAAAAAGACACTAGGGAGTTCCTGGATAAACAGGTACAAGCTCACTTCTTTGCCTACTTGAATTTAATGTTAGTTTATGGTGAATTTGGTTTTTCATTTCCAATATGCTTCTCTAACTGTCCTTTTCCTTAACAAAATTTTCAGAATCCGTCAGATTTCAAGATGCCCCTTTTATGGATATGTGGATTATAGTTCTTGCTGCCATTTTCTCTAATGTCCCAAATTGGCTTTTTCTGTTAATGCTTCTGCAGGTATGTGGCACTCCAGAGTACATTGCCCCAGAGGTGATTCTCCGTCAGGGCTACGGGAAGCCAGTGGACTGGTGGGCAATGGGAGTCATCCTGTACGAGTTCCTGGTGGGCTGCGCTCCCTTTTTCGGAGACACCCCAGAGGAGCTGTTCGGTCAAGTCATCAGTGGTGAGCAGCTGCTGTGGTTTTTCTTTTGTAATGTGGTTAACGAACGCCTCACTGTCAAAAGCTAGTAAGCCTGTTAGCGGTTAGTTAAGCTTAAAGAGAAGTTTGCCTACTAGTTTGTCAACTGGAGAGACTTATAAAGAATGGTTACTACATTACACAGCTTGCAACACCGTATACAGCATTTGGCAAATAACACATCATCAAATTTTGCTAAAAAAAAAAAAGTAAAACCTGGAATGACATATTAGAAGTTTCAGAATTTTCAAAAACTGCATTTTAAACTTTAAATAACTTTAAAGTACCCTACACAGGCAAAGCCAGCATAGAAAAAGGATACTAAGAAATGTATTATTATGATTTAGATTAAAGGCTTAAAACTGAATGTGGTCTAGTCCTTGGTTTAATAAAGGCCTTGCTCTACCTGTATTTTACTGGGAATATGACAGCTTTAGAAATAATTATTAGAGCACCTTTTTGTTTTCTTTACCAAGTCTATAAACACTGATCAATTTGTTAACATTTTATCATAGTGGTTAGATAATAACAGCACCTTCTAAAACAAACAAAAAAACTTACAATAATTGAATGCATACAATAAATTATCTTCTAAAATATAACGTATTGAAACGGCTGCAAGGTGGCTCGGTGGTTTAGTACAATTGTCCGCAGCAAGAAGGTTGCCTGTTTGCATCCCAGTGAGGACACCCGGGATCTTTCTGTGTGGAGTTTGCATGTTCTCCCTGTGCAGCGTGGGTTCTCCTTGGGTTCCCTGGCTTCCTCCCACAGTCCAGAAACATGCTGAGGTTAATTGGTGATTCTAAATTGTCCGTATGTGTGAAAGTGAGTGTGCTTGATTGTCTGTCTCTAAGTGTAGCCCTGTGATAGACTGGTGACCTTTTCCAGGGTGTCCCCTGCCTTCACCCTAAGTCAGCTGGGATAGACTCCGGCCCCCCACGACCCTAGTGAGGATTAAGCGTTGTATAGATGATGAATAGATGTATTGAAACGTTAAAAAAGCCAAAATTCACACTAGATGGACAGAAAACATTTTTTGTTATCAATATTTTGTGTTTAAGCTGTATGTATGAAATCAATAGATAATTCACACTACATTATTACTCAACAATACCTAAAAGAAGAAAAATGCGAGATGATGAGTAAACAGCCATCTTGGTGCTTGGTGACAATAAGGGATACAGCAAGAGATCCATCACTAACTGGCTTGGAATCACCCTCACAGCTGTTTGTTACAACCTTGAGAAAAAAACACAATATGGCTCCACCAAGAACTGCTAAGGAAGAAATAGAAAACAGTGGTCACAGTGGTCTAATAATTATTTCAAAAGCTGTACATGTTTGAGCCTAAGGGCTCCCAGACTGACAGAGACCATCAAACTTTAAAAAAGCCTCAGAAGTGTTCAGGTTGAAATGTTCCTCTACAACAGAGAAGTAGAGGCTTGACTTTCAAGGAATAAAATCCATTGTAATTTCTCCTCTCCATTCTTTCCTCCTTTGAATTCCTGTATATAAAAGGACAAACTTGTGTGGATGACTGTATGTCTTGTTTGTGACTGAGTCTCTTTCCATATCAATTAGGATGGTGATAGAAGGCAGTCCTGAATGTGTTCTATATTCTGATATATCTTCCAGATTGATGAGGGAGAGTCTTACTATTACAAACAGGAATTAATGTAAAAGTTCTCATAGTAATAATAATAATGATGATAGTAATTTGCACCTCTGCTACCAAGTATTACTTTTTTAACTGTTGGTTTATGTTAGTCTGGGAAAAAGGAGAACATGACAGATGTTTGTTGTGGTGTGAACAGTTAAGAGAGAAACACTTTTTATTATGTAGGACCGCAGAGGCTTACATATTTACTTTTTTCTATTTGTTTCTAATGTGCTGTATTTTGTTAGATGAGATCATCTGGCCAGAGGAGGATGAAGCTCTGCCTCAGGAAGCTCAAGACCTCATCTCCAAGCTGCTGAGACAAAATCCTCTAGAGAGACTGGGCACAGGTAAACTACTTCATCATTCTTGATGAAAAGGGGTTTGAAGAATATTACTGAAAAATAGGAATATCCTAATCGAGTGTATCTACCAATGCCAAGTCAGTTTTTTATTACATTTTTTTCTCAATGATACAGCTGCCCCGTGCAAAATCTGGTTATTGTAACTACTCTAAATTAGATGGGACTGTATGTTTGACAGTTTATACCGGTGCTCCAAAATGTGAAAAGACAGCTAAAAGCAACATTTATGACCACAGACATGGCGTGGTCATCCAACACAACCCATTTATTTAACTTTGTTGACATTTTTTGGGCCTCGTCGTTGTGCTCATGAAACCTTCGGATGGTTCCACACTTCAGACATTCTCCTGATGGCACAAATTGTGGGTAACATCTGTGTACGCACCCACCACAGGCAGTTGCGTGTTTGGGAAAGCAGCTTTGCAAGACTGGACAAAACACACCACATCCCTGAATAGTAAATGTAAAAAAGCACTGGCATTTGGCTTGCACTGTACTGTACTGCTGCCTTCTGACTTCCTTTTGTTATCCACACGCAGGTTCAAAATTAAAGTGCAATCACTTTCCACCAATGCTGATACCTTTGTCCTTCTGTTTCTCTTCTTTCCTTCCCACCTACCCACCCTTCTCTACCATCTTTGCATTTTCCTTCCTCCTTCATCTCCCCAGGAAGTGCCTTTGAGGTGAAGCAGCACCCTTTCTTCACAGAGCTGGACTGGAACAGCCTCCTGAGGCAGAAAGCTGAATTTATTCCCCAGCTGGAGTCCGAGGATGACACAAGTTATTTTGACAGTATGTCTCTCGCTGCTTTGCAGCACCTCTCAGCTGAAAGCCATACACTCACACTATAATCAACATGACCTAATCGCTGTGTCTGTCTCAGCTCGTTCTGATCGATACCACCATGTGGATTCAGAGGAAGACGATGACACTAACGACGACGAACATGTAGAGATACGACAGTTCTCCTCTTGCTCACCTCGCTTTAGCAAGGTATACACCCAACACATCCACATATCTCTTACAATCAAATTAACAACACATTGTTTGACAAAATAAATCAAGCCGCTTCCCAGACATGTGGGGTCAGTTTTTGAAGGCTTATAGCTAAATAGATGGATATCTATAAATTATTTTTATTTTTTACAGTCTCTAAAATGTTTTTCCTGTCAAATAAAACTGAATTTTTACTGTTGATTCATTTGCTTTATTGATTTAGTGCAGTCTTTATAAAGTCAGAAAAAGCTGAGGGTCTGTGCTCTAAGAGTGATGTACAATGTGTTTTGTGTAGGTGTACAGCAGTATGGAGCGTTTGACTCTGCATGAGGAGAAAAGGACTCCTCCTCCCACAAAACGCAGTCTCAGTGAAGAGGGAGGAGATCGCATCGACAGCCTGAGTGGCCTAAAGTCCAGAGATCGATCCTGGCTGGTGGGATCTCCGGAAATGTGAGTTATTTACCTTCAAACAACACAACAGACTCAGGTGCTCATTGACTGTTATTTTTTGTTTCTTAAGTAATTTATTTTTTAATTGTAGAAAACAGTTCTAAAGTGTAAACTTCAGTCTTTGATTTGTAGTTGTACAGGTGTTTGATCTTTCCTGTCTTTTTCTTCTCCAGACTGAGAAAGCGTCTGTCAGTCTCTGAGTCTTCACACACAGAAAGTGACTCAAGCCCACCTCTGACAGTCAGGAGACGCTGCTGCTCTGCCATCATTGAGATGCCACGCTTTGCTATCTCCTCAGAGGAAGAAGGTATAAGCAGGATTTTTTAATAGTCTGTGTTAACTACCTGCCAGGAGGAAACTGTTCATCAGCTTAGTTCAGAAACAGAGGAGAGAGAAAAAGAGAAAAGTTGTTAAGTTTGTTGCAGAAAGAAATTATGAAAAAAATGTACAATAGTCTTTATTATTACACACTGGTCTCACAAAAGCTGCTGTTTTACTACAAATTGTTGGTTCCCTGAGAATAAAGTTGTGCTTGGTTATTAAAGGTCTTTTACCCACACACACAAAAACAAAATGTGTACAGTTTCCAGATGAAGGTTTCTGAGAAATACATGGGTACCAGATGGCAAAATTAATGTCGGTTATTTTAACCCTAAACATCACTTTGAACACTTTTGGAGAAATAATGTAACTTATGACTAATACTTGCAAAATCTAAAGATGTTAAATCATTGAAGTAGCCTGTCGAATGGAGGTCGAACATGACATGAAAATTATGGCAGCCTAGCAAAAGTTTAGCCATCAAATCACACCAAGAGAAATATAAAGTTGAAATGGAAAGAAAAAACAAAAGAGTAAAATGACCAGTGATACAAATTTCAAGTCAGTGTTCTTGTTCTCCACTGTGTAGCTGGCAGTCGCAATAGTCCAAACCTGCTGGGTCCTAGTGCAGTGAGGGGCCCACGGAGTGAGGATATCCCCCTCGCCATCCCAGAGCTCCCAGTGGAGAGGGAGCTGAAGCTGGATGAGTGTCCTGCCACAACAAGCTCCACCTCAAGCCAGCTGAGCAAGGCCAAGCTCACGTGTAAGTAGAAATGCAAAGTGTACACATTGTAGAGACATAAGAGGATATAATGAACAAGACAAAAGTTCTACTTCCAGATCAGTGAGCTGACGAAGCTTTAAAACTAATCTGGTTTGTTATGTCTAGAGGGATTAATAGGATTGCTTGAAAAGTATTTCAAAAAATGTTTTACTGCTTATAGCAGCAACTTTTATGGAAAACCGTAGATGCGGTTTAGAGTATCTCCAGATTGTAGGCCTTTAAAATTATCGAATGTGAATTTTTTATAAAAGTCAATAAATATTTATCCAAATTTCAATGTGAACATGTGTATTACAGTGATCACTAAATTCTTACTTTAAAACTTTGCTGCTTCTCTTACCAGTTGGGAAAAGACCAAAAAAAAAAAAACAACAACAAAACCACAACTGCCTTTCTTGTAGATTGAAAAACTTGTATATGATCTGTCCAGAAACTTTCTTAAATTTCTTTAATAATTGGATTGAAAAACATGTTGGTTCCTTCCGTCTCTAATCATCAAGGGTCTTCTGCTCAACCATCTCTAATTTGCTTGAAACTTTGTTATCATAAACTATGGATATTTATAATGGTATCTGTAAATTTTCGATAGACATATCAAATACTTTCAAAGGTAACATTTTTATTTTTAAAACTGCCTGGTGACCAATTTTCAGTACAAAATCTCATAAACTACTAAAGACAAAAGCCTAATATTTGCAATGTTGTCTAATGTCGTTGATTTAAAATGTGTAATATTAGACAAGTAGATCAAATAGTCTCTGATTATGGTTGAGTTGAAAAACTAGTGAAGCAGAATGAAAAGTCCTTTTTTGAACACACGTAAACAAAAAGAATGTTGACAATGCAGAAGACAACTAGTGATATTTGCATAACCATATGTAACTGCATGTCACAATAACAAAAACAAATAATGAGTACTCTTTAGTATGAAACACTTGGTCAAAAAAAAAAGTTGGACCACAAAAACAAAAGTATTGTTCGACAGTCTAACTCTAACAGGGTTCTGCAGTTTCAAAGTGGTTCTCCAATTATAACTCTGAAATTATATATAGTATTTATATATAGGCATGTTTTATTTTCAGACCCCACTTTGTAGACTGAATAAAGAGTAAACTGTTGTCTTGTCCTAATATACTGACTGAATTCATATGTTTACTGGAAGACATGCTTGAACATATACTCATAAGCAGTGACTATAAATAAAGATTTACTTATACTTGGGGAACCACTTTGAAACTCCAGAACTCTGTTTTACTTAGCTGGTTCTATCTACCAATATTTTTATTTTTGCAAGACAACATGTCATACCTGTTTAATCAGTTATGAAAATTTCATGAAAATAGCATTTATATCCATTTATACATTTTTTTGACCAAGTGTTTCATATTGAAAAATCATCTGTGTGTTTTGTTTTGTAATACTGTGACATGCAGCTACATATGCTTCGGAAAATATCGCAAGTTGAGCTCTGCATTATCAAATTTTTTGGTAATATGTGCCTTAAGATTAAACTTTATATGATGGCTTTACTTTATTACATCTTTCAACTCACTTATGATAGACACTATTAGATCTACTTGTCCAATAATATTGCAGGTTTTGAACCATCAGCATGATAAGTGGAAACTTTTGGCTGTTTTATGTAATCGCTCCTGTGATAATGTCCTTTAAGCATAGCCTCAATTTCAATGTGCAAAAAAAGGTGTGGGATGACGGGCAGTTTTTTTTTCTTTGGTTGTTTTGTTAATCTTGCAAAGTATTTGATGACATATCAACCATAAATTTCAAAAAATATCTGTATAAATATCTGTAGTTTATGATTTAGGAAAAAAAAGCAATTCAGGCAAAAAACAAATGGTCGAGCAAAAAGTGTTGTAGAAATTTGATGATTTGAGATGAAATGACCATATAAGAAAGTATTAAATTTAGCTCTGATCACAACAAAAACTGTGTTTAGCCAAATTGTGTATTGTTGCATGTGATTGTGTTTTTTGTTGACATACACTCAAGAAGAGAATCTTTAATCAGACCTTCTCCTGTTCCTCCATCTTCTTCTGTCAATGCAGCGGGCAGCTCAAGCGACATGTGTGAACGGCCTAATGGCAGTAGTAGTGCAGTAGGTGGAGGTGCCAAAGCTGCAGTGGATAGCAGTTCTCCATCCACTCCAAAAGCCATCAGCGACTTGGCAGCTCGTAGAGCTCGCCATCGTCTGCTGTCTGGAGATGCAGACAAGCACACAACTCCAAGCACTAGGCCACTCAACAAGGTCATCAAGTCAGCCTCCGCCACCACGCTGTCGTTGATGATCCCTGCAGGTCAGTATGACAAGGTGTTGCTAAACACCAAAATCATATTAAATCTAAGATTTTGTGTTTGAGAGTTCAGTTGAGCAATAAGAAAGAATCGTGATTTAGACAGCATAAACTTTTGTCACAGGTTTTATTCATTATGGAAAACCTTACTGTTGCAGCACAGTGCAGATAATTTACCAAGTTAGTTTCAGGGAAATGAATAATAATCAGTCAGTTTCTGTCTGTTTGTAGACCACCACGGAGCCTCTCCACTGGCCAGCCCAATGTCTCCCCACTCACTGTCATCCAATCCATCATCTCGGGACTCCTCTCCAAGCCGGGACCTGTCCCCAGCAGTGAGCAGCGTTAAACCTGCCATTGTCATTCACAGAGCGGGAAAGAAGTATGGCTTTACACTGAGAGCTATCCGAGTCTACATGGGAGACTCTGATATCTACACTGTACATCACATGGTCTGGGTGAGTATCACCAGATTTACTGATCATGTGTTCTGTGTGAAAATATGAGAACCGTGGAGGTACCAATCTTACATACAGCTTTACAACTCACAAAGATGGGTTCTGACGTATGTAAGTACATTTTAAATTATAAATGTAGGGGGAAAAAAGTTAACATTCTTCTGCCAAAATACAGATTCTATCAAAATGGAAGTGTATTAATCTATTCTTACGGCGTTATATTTTTATTTCAGAGCGACTGTATAACAGTATCACTGTGGTTGCTTTGAACTTGTTGTTGACAGAAGGTGGCAGTAAATAACAACATAACAGGCTCAGCCCAGAGTCTTGAACATGTCTCCCTCCCATTGCCATTCCTCAGAATCTTTCTTCCTTTCTACCCTCTGATCCTCTCTTCTCTCCCTCTCTGTCTGTGTTTTCCCTTAGCATGTGGAGGTGGGGGGACCAGCCCACGAGGCAGGGCTAAGGGAGGGAGACCTGATCACCCATGTCAACGGGGAGCCAGTCCACGGTCTGGTTCACACAGAGGTGGTGGAGCTTATTCTGAAGGTACCAACATTAAATACAATCATTTTTTTGCACTTAATAAAGTATTTTTTTCAGAGGACTACAGTCTTTGGTTAGAATAAACACACACACTACAAAGAGCACTGATGTTCACACTTGAAAACTGTTTGGAAAAGGGCAGGCACTTTCAAAAAATACTTGACATGTAATTGAGATAAACCATCAGTCTTTTACTGTCTATTTTGTGGTGCATTTAGCCAAACAGAACAACAAACCATATTGCATTGTAGAAGAGCCCAAAATAGCGAACACAACAATAAGCTATAGTCATAGAAACTGAAAGATAGCGAGAAGCCAGTGTTATCGCCGTTTATGCAAGAAAAAGTTGCACTTAAAAGACACTCTAGTCATTGTTGTTTTTGAATGACCATGTACTTCTTGCTCGTCACACATTAAACATACATTTTGCTGCCAGTAGCTCCTCATAGAACACTGAGTAGTCTAGGCCACTGTAATTGGGCCACAAGTGCAAAGCTTGAAGTCTGACAAGATAGAAGCCAGCTGCCTCACAAGAGCCAGATGATGATCCTGTGTCGACTAAAAGTAAAGGTTAAACCAAATAAAAAATACTTTGATTGACCTACATGAAAGCTATGCTACAAGTCTATAATCAAACTACAGTCCTGTAAAGGCCTCCTCTGCCAAGGGTGATAAAGTAATAACAGAAACAAAATGTGTTCAAATTTAGATGACAACATGTTTCTAATACTGTGTCATTACTCAGAGTGGTTCCAAAGTGTCCATCTCTGCCACCCCATTTGAGAACACATCAATCAAAATTGGCCCTGCTCGAAAGACGAGCCACAAATCCAAGATGGCAAGACGCAACAAGAAGACCAAGAACAAGGAGGGGCAGGACAGGTAGGACACAGATGAGAGATAAATGCAAAAGTGTACATGTGCAAAGGTTTATTGCACATTATTTGTGTGTTTCCTTTCTCAGTAAGAAGAGGACGTCTCTGTTCAGGAAGATCACCAAGCAAGCATCTCTCCTCCACACCAGCCGCAGTTTATCCTCTTTAAACCGCTCCCTGTCCTCAGGGGAAAGTGGCCCCGGCTCACCAACGCACAACTTGTCACCACGAAGCCCAACGCAGGGCTACAGGTCCACCCCAGACTCCACCCACTCAGGCAAGAACACACACAAGAAACATACATACAAAAGAAAATGATGGCACTGATTTAAAGTGTCACCTGTCACTTCCATTTTTTGATATAATCAGAATTAGACAGTGTTTAATGGGACTTCTCTTAGTATGTCTCCTCTGCATCATTGTTCTCCTTCTTTACTCCACAGTTGGAGGAAACTCTTCTCAGAGCAGCTCCCCCAGCTCCAGCGTCCCTAACTCCCCAGCGAGCTCCGGCCACATCCGGCCCAGCTCCCTGCACGGCCTTGCTCCAAAACTTCAGCGCCAGTATCGCTCCCCTCGACGCAAGTCTGCCGGCAACATCCCCCTTTCCCCTCTGGCCCGCACACCCTCGCCCACCCCACAAAGCAGCTCTCCTCAGCGCTCTCCCTCACCACTGCCCAGCCATGCTCTGGGTCAGTCTGCCGTGGGTCAGTCATTCCCTGTGAAGCTTCACTCCTCCCCTCCTCTTGTGAGGCAGATCTCCAGGCCCAAGAGCGCAGAGTCTCCACGGTCTCCACTCCTCAAGCGGGTGCAGTCAGCCGAAAAACTGGGTGCCTCTCTCTCCAGCTCCCCTTCATCTCCCTCTGGGGCAGCAGCAGTGACGGAGAGGAAGCTGGTAGTGGGAGCAACAGTGGGGAGCAGGAAACACAGTCTGGACATCTCACATTCAGAGTTTAAGAAAGAGATTCTGCAGAGGGAGCCAAGCTTGCAGAGTCTTCAGGTAAAAGTATATCATGCACCAGTGACTTCATCACCCAAATTTGACAATTTGTTAATTCTGTGATAGTGTTTGAAGTTTTGACAGCATAATGGTCACAGTATTTCTTATTGTGATTACGGTAGTTTTGATTAATGACAGTCAATTTAAAGAAATATTATTTGAATTCTATTACATACTCAGATTGAGAAATAAGTTCCCATGGAATTGTGTTACATGACTGAGCCCTACAAAGCTCAATTTTGTTTAGATGAAATGTCACAACGTAATGAAAAGCTGCATGAATGACAAAGAAAATTCTTAAGGCATGGTTGTTGGACTGGTTCTTTCCTAACCACAACAGTTGAAAAGCTAAGATAAAATAAATTCTTAAACTGGCAATGGAATACTGTAGTTCTACTGAGTTTGGATTCATTTGTGAGTTTTCAAGAACCAGCAAAAGAAAAACAACAATAACTCATTTGTTGTTTTGCCAGATAGCAGATGTCAGTATGAAAGCCACCTTATCCACAGCGTGTGTACCAGCTCACTTCAATGTGCAAATTGAGGGATTTGTGTATCATTTGTATGTTTTGACAAGGCCCTTCTGTGTCTTCCATAACCTTTAGGAGTCAGCTAGCGAGGGTCTCTTGTGCTCAGCAGGACGTAGCATAGAGAAAGGAAGCCTGCAGACTCACTCCTCCTCATCCAGGAAGTTAGGACGTCAGGAAGGGGATGGTGCCCTCAGTGCAGTGTCCAGCTCACTGGGTCTGGCTACCGGGAAGAACAAGCTGAAGGACAAACTGTCAGCCATTCGCCAGGACAGAGCCGAGAGGAGGGAGTCACTGCAGAAGCAAGATGCCATCCATGAGGTAGATTCATCTGAGGACGAGACAGATGAGGGCTCAGAGGACAGCCAGGACGGACGCCGGGGGACAACCTTCACCCCTCCTCCCTTGCTGAGGCCCACCACTGTGAGAACAGGGCCCGGAGGCACGCTGCCGTCCCTATGCATCTCTCCCTACACCACCCACGCCACATTCAGTCACACAGGGCCCTCACAGTTAGGCAGGCCCACTCCCTCACACACACTACCCTCCGTTGCAGAAAGTAAGTCCAGTCAGAACACCTCCTCTGCTGGAGACCCGACCTCATCCACAGAAGTTCTAAGACAAGAGGGGAAGGTTCTAGAGCTGACTGGTACTGCAAAACCCACTTGGGGTCCCCTTCCTTTCTCCACTCCAGGCAGTGCATTCATCTCAGTCAGCAAGGACAGTTTTCTCAAGCCAACTCCTCCACAAGACTCAAAGAGTATTGAGAGAAAGACTGCATCACTGGAGTCCAGAGCAGGGGAACAAAGCCTGGACAGCCCTAAAACCACTGCCCCCTCTACAGTGAGTATAAACACTCCCGACTGCAGAACCACTACAAATGCCACAGACTCTCGGACCACCACAAGCACTCCAGACTGTCGAACCACTGACAGCCAAGAGATTCCCCGCACCTCCTGTTCCTCTCCAGGCATCCCCAAGGAAAAGAAGGAGGCTGACAACCGGCGACTATGTGCAGCCGTGGCTGCTGCAAGTCTTAGTGCTTCGTCTTCAGCCACTTCGAGCTCCAGCTTAAGTTCAAGCTCCTCACTTCCACCTCCCGAGAGAGGGATAGAAAAAGTGGTGTCCCAGCTTGCAACAGTAACTAAGAGTGTTCTGGGTCCTATCAAACTCAGTACTGCTGCAGAGAAGGGCACACAGGACCAGAAACTATCTAGAAATAGCACCTCAGAAGTCTCACTTTCTGAGCCCCTCTCCTTTCCCTCTAAACAGGTTGCAACCCTTTCCCCAACGAGGCAGAAAACAAAGTGCGTTGCTTTGCCAGCCACCTCACAGAGACTGGCCAAAACCTCCACCCAGAAAGACTGTGCAGCCCCACCACCACCATCCTGCAAGGATGTCCCAGAAAGGCCCACAACAGGGTCTGCAGCCCGAGATATTGCTGCCAGTGCATTTGAACGACTGGGTGCAGCAGAAGCTCGGCACACCCTCAGCTCACCCCCCACCACTTCTGCAGCATCTGAGCCACAGTGCCAGAGGTCCAAAACCCCAACTGCCACCACTGCTACAGCCAGTGCCATGTCCTCTTCGTTGCAACAAGACAAAGCCACCAGCAAAAAGACGTAGCATCAAAACAGAAAGTACAGAATAAAATGTACAGGTCACACCACTCAGTGCTTGCTTGAGATTTTAAAAGTCACAAAAACTGCATGTTTAGAAGAAAACATATTAGTGATTTCACACTGTTTAGAGTTTGAATTTCAAAGCAAAAAAAACGGTGTTGAAAGAGAGTTCACAAAAGCTGAGACAGATGCAGTAGTCCTAGTTCTATTCCAGTTTTTCTGTGCTCTTTATGTTCTTTAAGTTAATTTGGTGTCCTGACTTTGGTTCCTGCTTTTAGATGAAATGCCACAAGGAGTTTTCAAATATGTAAGGGGAAAGAAATATAAAGACTTCATTGTTCCACACACACACTATAAAAGTAGAAACATTACCCTTACACAAACCTTTCTCACTCATGGTCTGATTGTGCTGTCTCATTATTTTTCACCTCGATGTCCAGAATTCATACATGCATGTTCTTTTACAAGTTCAGGATATCTCCTGCTGAACGCACTCCTCTTTTTCCTTATCCCTTCTCTTCTTCCTCCCACCCCTCCTTTAACAACATGTCTACTCAGCCATGACTGGAAGAATATTGTATCTCAGCAATAAAGTGTATCATATGGTTAGCAATCTGTGTAAATGCATTACAGTGTTTTTATTAGGAATAAATCTGTATCATCAGTGTACACCGAGCACACAGCTAACAAGGCCAAATTAAATTCTTCTCTTGGTTTGATCCCTGGTGGCAATTTATATACTAATACCCTGAATATCTTTCAGTTTATTGCACATCAAATTGTGTACATGCTGGACAGTTTGCAAAGGACAACATGCTTCTTTTTTTAGATAAAACAATTTTTGTTCCCAGTGTTTCAGACTATCAATTCTATCATGTGATTGTAAGGTACAGTGTTACATCACTCTCACCAATTTCCAATTGCTGTTTCTATTTTTGGATCCTGATTGGCAACAAACAAACATGTGTTAGCTCAAATGCTAACAAATTTTGTTGAAACATGGATCTCTCCGTTTTTGTCACTGGCAAAACTACAGCAACAGATTGTATCAGTCCTTGGTTATTACTTTTATTGTATGTTGGAAATAGACCTAAATACATTCAGTAAAAATGATTTGCTGCAGACTACTGGTGCAGCATAGTTCCTTGGATGTCTTTTAGTTCTTTACCTTGTGACACCCTTCATCAGCGTATTAGTACCATGTGCAATGAAGGATACAAAAAGATGAAAAAGGGTGTGGATTGAACTGGATTTTATTGACACAGTCCTAAATGCAGAAAAAGCTTCAAAACTGAGTGGTTGTTTTGAAAACACTGTTCTGCTAGGCCACCACCTTTTTATTTGTAGCTCCAGCCTCTGAAGGCAGCCGTAGTTTTATTTATCTGGACCAACTTGCTGTGTTTTTGCCTCTAATCCTGTAAAGTTACATGTGTGTGAGAAGAGAGAGTGTGTGTATCTATGTATATATGAAAAATATTTAAAGTTTTTTGTGTATCTACTTCATACCCTCTATGCGCGCGTGTGTGTGTGTGTGTGTGTGTGTGAGTGTGTGTGTGTGCTAGCTACCTACTTGTATTTGTGGACAGAGCTCTTTACATGTTTGTGTAAAGCATCAGGCTTTTTACAGAACATTTATCGTGTGTCTGAGTTGCGAGAAAAACACAAAATATCAGTAAAAGGAAAAGCAGATTGACATATTTGAACAGTGACTGTTTCGTGTTTGAAAAAAAGTTACCTTTCAAAATCAGCTAGAAGCACAGAGAGTCCAACCCACACTGAAATATTTCTTGCTGTGTTTCCACAAAGTTGAACAAAAATCAGTCTGCAGGCCAGATTTTAGAGCATGCATGGACAGATTTGTTAGCACTGACAAAGTTCTCGAGCAAGTGAGGGCAGAAATGTGAGCATATATAAAGATTTGTGGCCAAAGTTATATCTTGCGGTTTTAGTGGGCAGCAAATATTTCTGGAGTATGGTGACTTTGGTTTGGATCTGGTTCTAATTTGATAAAATACCCAAGACCAATGAATTGTTATTCTGGATTCATATTTGATCAAATGCTTTTAAGGCTGAAAACTAGCAAAATGTTGTCTTTTTTTCTCTTTCTTCAGGCTTTTCTGCTTTTAGTTTTGAAGAGTTTAGTGTTTTTTTCGCTTGCAAAGTATGCTCTGATGTCTAGCTATAGAAGTTAACCTTCAGTAAGCTTCATCCAGTTTTTCATCAATTTAAAAGACCTAAGCCGGGAGAAAAAGAAAAAACAAAACAAAACAAAGACTTACACATAATATGGGTGTTTCGTGTCAAATATTTGAAGTGCTCAAGTCCAGTGGCACATTAATGCAGGATTTATTGCTTAAAACGAGAGTAGGACAATATTATTGACAGCTTACTATATATCGCAGCACATGTGGGCCTGTAACGTACAAGAAATGTCGATATAGAAATAACCAAAATATGATTTAAATGTCTCCAGTACATAGTTTTTAGGCATCCTTGTCAAAATTCAGTATTTATATTTAAAAAAAGAAAAAGAAGAAGAAAAGAAAAAATATAGGCCAATATATACTAATCTAATCAAATATCCATATCAGTGTCTTTAAAATTCATAGAAATGTTGTTTGACTTTACTAAAAACTATTTTATTTGCTTAATTTGTGTCTGTGGGCTCTCAGCTGACTACTTGATTCATAATTAAGTACATCAGGCTCAGTAAATCCTGAAATGTAGTTCTTGCTCAGTAGTTTTCCAGTAAATATCATGAATATTAGTAGGAGGTCTGAACTTTTGTCTCCTCACACTGCTCAAGTTTTTACTATTATTTGACTTCAGCTGGGATTTTAATATGTAATGTTTTTGTGTAATGATGTTAAATCCAGCCCACCTGCTCTCAGCTGGTTGTCCTATCAGTTCTATACAGACAGCTGCTTCACACACACACACACACACACACACACACACACATCAATATTTGTGCCATCTAATGTAACAGTGCCAATTTCACCATGTCTTCTGGCAGTATAAACACACGCACACACCTTCTTGTGTGTGTAAAGATGATGGTTCAGCCATACACTAGAGAGTAAAGCAATTGTTAGTTTCTATGGTGGAGTGATTGATCTGAAGCTCTGACACACACACAGGATCAGGTTAGCCAACACAGACACTTTGAGCATCCCTCAGGCTCCTCTCTCCTGCCCTGTCCTGGCATGAGCAGCTCAGCAGTTACTTTTTGTTGGCAGTGTGTTTGACCTCCATGCTGTATTTGCCCATTATGCTGCTCTGTGACCGAGGGCCATGAATCAGACCTGCCGCTACAGAAGTTTGATAAGCTACTGAGAGACAAAAAAGAAGTGTAATTGGACCAGTTATCAGTTTCAGAATCAGAATTTGAGAACATTGGCATGGATTTTTTTCAGTAGATATAGAATGAGTCCTACAAGTTCAAGCTTGTGATTAGTTTTTCCAGTTGGGGAGAGTTGCTATATTTGTACTGAAATATATTTTTCAATATATTACTTTTCCCCAAAACCTATATTTTCATTCAGCAAAGACATTCAATGATAGGCATTCATAAATAAATTTTTCCCAAAATAGTACAAAAAAAATAAAAAAAAGTTATATCAAAACAGTCTGATTAAATAAAAAGTAAACAACATCATAAATCTGGTCAAAATGAAAATTTGAAAAAATTCAACCTTATTTTAAAAAGTCCACAGCTGTATCCTAACATCCATGCATGGATCAGTGTACTTTAAGCTCTCCAGCTAAAAGCTAGCTTCAGAAAAAATAAAAGCAAGTTTTCCCCTAAGGATAGGTGAAGTTTTTTTCAACAACTTATTATGTAGGTAATAATCTGTCTCTGCTCTTAGAAGTTGTTTTAGCTTGACGGCTTAAATTTGATTCTGTAGTTGGTTTTGTCATAAGTAATCTTGCATAGCTGACAGTAACCACTTCATGTTGGTGTGAAGATTTCCAGCTTCCACAAAATCAACATTTTACGTTCAAGACTTTCTCTGTGCCAACAAATATGTCCTTTCACTCACTATGATTTATTACTACTCATCTTTTTTACTATTCTTCTGCAGCAGTTTTGTTATTGATTCATCTCCCCCAGTTCACTAAACATATTGGCATGTTTTGCTCAGTATCAGGCAGTCATCTTAAAACTCGTATTGTGCTTATCTGTCCCATATTTGATGCCATGACTGATTTACATGTCAGCTGTGATTTTGCCACTAATACGCTCGCATATATCTCACTCTGAGCACTGTGAGGAAGCAGCTCTGTCTGTGAGGTACAAATATACAAACAAGACTTGGTACGAATTGAAGCTTTATCACCACTGAAACACCAGACATACCTCTTCTGAACCACCATTCAAAAGATTCCATGATGTTTCAATGTGCAGTTTGTTAAACGTGTACCAGTATGTTAGGGGGCTGTTGCAGCTCTGATGAGCAGAAAAAAGGACTTTAACTTGACTTTTACAGTCAAGAGCAGTATTCCCAAACTGTGTGTGTTGTGTGCTTGTGATGAAGATGACAAAGACAATTCATCTGTGCAGCGCAAAAGCTTGACAAAGGTTTTAAGAAAGGAAGAAAAAAAATCATTGCTAGAGAAATACTAGTGCAATATCTTTTTATTTTTTATTGTGGTAAATGCATGTTGTTGTCAATTTTACTTTATAACAATAATAAAGCTTTTTTTATGATTGTCTATGATTGTGTTTCTTCTTTCACTTTGTGTTATCATCACCCTTTAGGTGGTGCATCATGCTTTTTCCATTAAGGCAACATTTTTAGAGAGAGATTACTGCCACAGAACCCCTATGAAGTCAGAAACAATAAAGGATAACTGTCTCAGGATGCTGGGAGCAGCTACACTACCAAAAAAAAAGATTGTATCTTGTGGTAATAAGGCAGCATGACACACAAGCTAATTACTTCTAATGCTAATAAACTTCTGTTTGGTCATCTTCCTCCAGGATCCTGATTGCCTTATTGTTTGATGTCCTCGTCTATTAGTGCACACTGAGGTAAGCCCTTTAATTACTGGTTATTAAAATTTTACAGTGGCATGTCTTTGAATAAAGATCTGGTGCCACGTGAAGCTTCTGGTTGAGTTTAGTTTATTTGCCGTGGTTCAGTTTCAGATGTAGTCATCTTTTGCACTCTGAATGAATTTTTCAGGCCTCATTCCAAGGCAAATAAAACTCCATTCTCATCTTCTGTACTGTGACAGCTGTCTTAAAACCTGGACAAATATCTGCATGGATAGACCAGTGATAGGCCTGAGAAAATATGTTTTAATACAACTTGGCTAAACCAGCACTAAGGATCCTAGGGTTCCGTTTTAGACGAAAAACAGTGTTATGTAACTTTTTTGCTCTCAGAAGGGAATAGTAGCTTTCTCCTTATTTCAAAAATGTGATGTTAAATTGTACCTTCCCCTCTCTTTCCTAGTTCATGTCTAGCAATAGACATCTTGGTGTACTTCTGAAGACTGAGGGTGAGCAGGAAAGTGGTAGCTAGTTATCTGTTAAATAGTTTTTCCCACAGTTCTGCATATTGTCAGTAAAGCAGCAACATCCAGTCAGCTAAGTTGTAATTTGGCAGCACTGAGCGCCCTAATGGGGCTTCAAATGGGCTGATGAACTGCTCACTTTCGGTGCCCTGTCTCCCTGCGTCTCTGTGGGAGATTTCAGGTACCCTAATGGTCTTAGGAGACAGCAGAGCCAGCCTTGCCATGCATTCACGGAGTGTAATGGCTAATCTGTGCAGTGCCTCAGGGCCACCACATATTGCGGAAGAAACAGCAGTAAAATGGAGCTCCATTAGCGTTCCTCAGCGCTAGAGCAGCCTCTTACTAAAGGACATCTCCCTTTAGCCAATGGACCGCTCGGGTCAGGGGTTGCACTTGTCTGAATTAAACACCAGCTACTACTTCATTCAACCTCTTTGCCACTCTCACTTCCTTCCGCTGCTACCATCCATCCAGGCATCCATAGGGAGCTGTCAGAACAAAGGAGGCGAGCGAATGGCCTTTTTCAGTCTTTACTGGAGGTCCTGAGGGGATGAAGGTATACAAGTCCTATGCACATGCACACACAAGAAAAAGTGTGGAGAAGCAGTGACAGGCAGGCAGCGCAGGGTGATGAATTGCCAGCTTCGTCTCAATCTGACACGGCTCTACATGAGCGGGCAACTTCATTCCAGGCTGTCGGAAAGAAAGAGAGAGAAGGAAGGAGCAAGAAAAGAATAACGGTAGACAAGGAAATGTGAAGGAAACAACACCCAAGCATACTGACTTCCTTTGGGCTGGAGCATGTGCCATCAGCCGAACAAGAAAAGAGATATCAGTTGCAAATGTTACCTTCAACTTGTGAATGCCTGACATTAAGTGTACAAAATCTGAGGAGTCTAAGTAGGAGTTAGTTTTCATGGTTTAGTTAGTAGAATAGAGAATACCAGAGCCACCAACCAGAACTATGTATGTATGTAAGCTGTAAAAACCATATGCAAATCAAAGAAAACATGTCATTATTTACATGTAAACAGTTCTATCGCCTAACAGCTAGAAAATATTCAGTTTGCGTAGCGGTTAGGATGTTCTCCTTGTGCAGCGTGGGTTCTTACCGGGTTCTCCAGCTTCCACCCTGGAGCCTAGACACAGGTCATTTACCCCAATGCACTGACCCTAGAGAGGATTAAGTGGTTTATAGATAATGGATGGATGTAAACAGTCATTAAATAATTTTATCAATAAAAGACAAAAAAATAACCACACCTGTATCATGCTCAAACTCAGAAAGGGTGTTTATTTTGAATGCAAGGCCTGATTAATCAGCCATGCACACAGTATTAGGCCTAAGTTGTGTGCTCATCTGTACAGAGAGAGATTGCTTTATCATTTGACTTCTTTTATTTAAAAATGCCTACATTTACAACCACTCAGTTGGAGTTACAGAGTTCTAATGGACACCTAGGAGTTAAACAGGCAAAATTACAGGTGCATAAACCCTAATGCTATTGTCAACCATCAAATGATAATTCGCTATATAACCAAAACTGTGCATTTTTGTTTTATTTGTAATAGTAAAGTATGAAAAATGCAATGGTGTGAAAATCTTGGATACAATGTGAAATGGAATAATACTAGTGACAATGAAGGATTAGGGAACACATCTGAAATGAGTTTACTAGTATGTCCACAGGTCATTCGCCCCTGTGCATGCTGTGAAACATTCCCAAACACTTGAGGGCTGTATACTACGAAGTGAGATTTGTAGGTTAACAGGTATGTTGAGCCTCAAGTCAGATTTTTCAGTGTCACGAAGGTGGTTCTGTTTTTAACTGCTAGATCTTCATGGTACCCGATGCTGTGGAGCTAATCTGGTCAGGAGCAGGTTATGTTCAGAGTTTCAGAATCTAGAAGAAGCGTCTCCCTTTAATCAACTAGTTTCCTGCCGATTCTTTACGAGCAATACAGATTGTCAGCCAAGGGAATATGTTTTATCTGTAAACATGCTGAGCTGTATGTTACTAATATCATCACTATACATCGCATTGGCATGGGAACCTGACATTTACACTACTGGTGCTGTAGCTGATAGAAAACAGATTAGAAAATAGATTATTACATACTAGTATTTATTACAGAGAATATTCAATCAATAACATTCACTTTACTTTGATTTGACCAAAAATTAAAGTGATATCCTGCATTATGGGACAGTGTCAGACCGAAATGCACTTTAGGTCTGACATCATCATCATGTTAAACATCATGTTTAACCATATGAAACGTAAAGTTTAACAGGTTTAATGTGCAGTTGTCAGTTAGAGATAAGCGGCTGCACTAATCAGTAAAATAAATATATTATGCACGTAACACTTTTCTACCAGCATTCCTGTATTGTATCATTTACAGTGGCATTTTTAACATCATTATCTTTTATATTCCTCATCGTTGTCTATTATAACCCCCTGCTGACTCAAGCAGCTGCAGACGATCGTTTCAATTCATGCAGAAGAAGAGTTCACATGACATGTTAAATACCCCCTTTTATGTGAACATGCACAGAGTTTGAAGCCAGAAAGCCTGACTTAACAAAGAAAGTACACAACATCTTTCATGATACCTGTGATCTCTGACTGGGGCTTTAGTTTTCGTTGAGCAGACTTACACAAAGAAAGCAGCCTGGCTACGTCAAACTTGGTTTGTAGTATACCCCTGTGGTAAAATAAATCCCTGTTGCACTGTGTCTACAAACAGGTCCTACACACACACTGCTATCTACATCTCTGCTTTAATAATTGAGGCCCCTGGAACTTTTCTTGGAATGGAATAATTCTACTGCATGCTACTTCTGAAAGGCTCTGCACATTCTCACAGGCGTTTTGAGTTATTGTGGCTGATTAGACTTTTGTTTCAGATGAAGTCGGGTGGAGCTAAGCTGAAATGACATCAAGGGCCTGCCCTATTTAGCAAGTTCAACATACCCAGGATAGGCTTGACTAACAACAACAATCAGGCTAAAGTTGTCACATGAAGCTGGTTATCAATACAAGCCAACCAGGGTTTCCAAAACTGGCTAACATCACTTTCACATGAAAGGGCCAGTGTTGCCATCACATGACCAATTGCAAACATGTATACATTTACATGCATATATTTCTCACAAAAACAAACTATAATCCCAAACCAATATGGGGAATTTTAAAATATAATACAGGGTAAAAGCAGCACAGCTGCTGAAGCTGAACCAGGGAGGGAAGCTGTCAGGATCCCTGCCTCTCCCCTAATCTGCTGGCAGTATCTCCTTCGCCTTCCTCTCTCCCTCAGTGTGTGTGTTTGATCAGCTGCCTAATCAGCAGCAAATGTCGACACTTGTGCACTTGTGCACTTGTGCTTATCTGCCTCTAGTCTACACTCCCCTCAATAAAACCCTGGTTCAGACAATCACTCTGCCCAATCGTCTGTCTAATTTACAACCCTCGACCAATTCCCCAGCACTGTTTTCCATTCACCTCTGAAAATTCCTGTCAGATTCCTCTCAGGATATCTCAGATCTCTGGACATCTACAAACTATCTGGCTCACCTGCCTCTGTACTGCACAAGGAGTTTACTGAGGAGTCTGTCAACATAAGAACTATGTCATTAAGACCTATTTAGACCTTCCAGAGACAACATTCCCACCAGAGCATGGATGGAAAGGGAGAAATTATCAAAAGACTCTAAGTCACCTATACGAATAATAAAGGAATTCAATATTGCTCTAAACTCACTCTGAACTCGCAGCCTTGGCTAGCCATGTTTCTCACCTCACATTTCTCTCTCATTATCTCTTTAGTTCATTCATCAGTGCGGTCATATCAACAGCAAATGCAAAATCTGCCATCCAGTCCTCATCTGAGAGCGCTGGGATGTCTTTGCCTTTCTTCTCACAAAACTCTCAAATCTCTGCTTTCAGGTCCCAAACTCTTTTGAGCATTTTGCCCAGGCTGAGCCATCTGACAGTTGTGTGGTAGCTGATGTCACTGCGTTTAGTCTCATGCTCCTCCAAAAGTACAACTGTCTGTGATTCAATGCTCGTGCCCTGATGAAGTTAACTATTTTAGCTACAACATCAATGACATGGTTAATTTTTAGCAGTGACTTGCTCAACACATTTTGATGTATAGTAGAATGCAAAATTACCAATTTCTGATCTGCA